GCTGTTGTTGACATTGCTGGCTGTAAGCACGCGAATGTATATATATGGATGGAGACGCACGCACGCTATGCTCTTCATTTGCTCACATTGCGAAGGGCTAAAAGGTGCAGCTTTGCAATGTCTTGCTCACACGACTGCTCGCGCAAGAGCCTCCACTCGAGGGAGCCCTAAAGAATACTTTTTACGGGGTAGTTGGCCTACTCTTCCATGCTGGCCAAACGTCGTAGGAAGGGTATAGGAGTGGCCACAGTTTACTCCACCACACACGACACGCTAATCGACCGTAGGGTCCTGAATTGCATTGCCGGGTGGACAGAGAAGGGGAGATTTAAGGAACTTGCACCATCGATTCAACAGCCGCGCTGGGAAGATGAACCAGTGACCTCGTGATTGCCAAGACCGGCGTGCCAAACGTCACACGACGGCAGCTTTCAAGATTCACCCCTGGTCACTTGAAAATTCAAAGCGTCGTAGATTCCCCTTTAAGTACACACCCATTATTTAGTAACGATGTGACCCGTGAACATTCGTAACCAATCCGTGGCCCTGGCTCTGTCTGTGTGTGTGTGTGAGAGCCGTGTTTATTCAGACTCGGGAGAATGTCCCCGGAGATGTGGTGATCTATGTCCTCCACGCGTCCCCACTGTGTAAGCACCAGGGGGTTGGTGTGTAGTGGTCGTGAAATATTGAGTGCTCTTGCTGGGCTGCCGACTGACATGTCATTCCGTTTTAATTTCTGCGGTCCCATCGCACGTGCCTTTGACACGCTGCTCACAGCACGATGTGCAGGCAATGGTGGTGCTTTTAGCCGATTATTGCAGAGAGGACGGAAACCTTTGTTGGCCTCTTACCTAAAATAAAATCCGAATGGTGTGAACGAATTTATTTATTTGCCAGGTAAGGCCCCCACTGAGCTGTTTCGCTCTCTTTTTCTTCAGAAGCGACCACAAATGATATCTCAACGACGTGGCTTATCGCGTTGAAATGCATTGCGGCCAAATACTTGAAACGCGTGATGTTGATTCTAAAAGTGGAGGGATAAACCGGAGGACCCGGAGAAAAATCCACACGACCACGGGAAGAGAACATACAAACTACAAATACACAGCAGCAGGCGTCAAGGGTCAGGATCAAACCCACGACCTCCTGTATACCAGGCGAGGTAGTTAACATCTCGCCACCAAATAGGTCTGGAAGCACCCCAAGTGTCCTTTTGTTAGATGGCTTGGCAGAGACTTGATGTTGGTCCCCATTGCATTTTACATTTCACACGTCACCCTTTTCATGTATAGCCTTATTGTATTGTTGGGCACATGCTTTTGTTTTCATTCACAAATGCTTGCAAGGGAACGCTTAAATCATACGCTCTTCCCATTTATCCCCTGCTGGCTCAGGATAAGCTTAGGTAAGAGTGCACTTCCTTCCATAAAAAAAATCCTAACCCATAATGGAATTTTTATATCGCATTTGGCACCATGTGCTGAACACTTGCGTATAAATTTGCTGTCCTTGAACACTTCATCGTACTACTCTGTGTATCATAACATGCATTTACTGACGTATTAGAAGTTACCTTTGGGGTAATTTCATAACCACGCTTGGATTGTAATAATAATCGTTCACTTATACAAAAGCAAAATTCCAATAACCTGCACGACAGGTGGACGCCATCTGTAACCCTGTGAAAGTGAGGTTCATGGGAACGGTTCGCCCAGAAAGGTAGGTACAGAAATTACATCAGAGGATATATCTATATTTATCGATACAAGAAACAAAAAATCACTGTAATATTGTCAGGTGCAAATAATGACACTCGCTTTGTTTCAGAATTGCTTTCGCATCGGCATGTTTACGCACTGCATCTTTAAAAAAAATGTTGTAGCCAGAGGGGGAAAAAAACATGTCCTTGTTTCTGTGAACTGCACTTAAAATCCGCGCAACCTATACTAACGGCTACCTATTGGACTGCTTCGTTTCATCATTACCGTGTTCAACCACCGTACTGAATATCAAACACTTCTCTGTTTGCACAGCTCGACTTTGGGATTCCCTCCTATGGTCTGATTTCCCCAGCTGTGACCTTTTTCAATTCAAGCAATGTCTAACCCTTATACCATGAATAGTGCTGTTTGTTGCTGGCTGCTTAACCTTCTGGGCTTTTGTGCTCGGCAACTGTGATACAAAAAAATCATCCATCTTTATTCTTGCAAGAAAATGCATTTCGCAAGCAAATTTCTGTGTACAAATTAAATGATGCAATACAACACATTGCAAGTGCAAGTATTTACAAATGTAGTGGGTAATTACACAGACATGCATAAATCAATAATATAATGCAACTTTAGTCAGATTATATTTAGCTCAGTAGCAAAGTATATTTATTTGTTCACGTGAATCTCATACATCTGGTAATTTCCAACTTTACATAACTACAGCGGACTGGACACATGAAATTATTTAGTCATTCAACCATTGGTGAATTAAGAGTTGTATGTACAAACAGTAAGGGATAACATTGTATGTCTTGATAGTTAGACCATTGATGCTAATGGTGATACTGCATATTTTGAACTTCTCTCGCACCATACGTACTCAACCGTGCTCATAAAGCTACACGAAACGTTCTTCCTTAATGACACACATTTGGTTATTTGTGGTAATTTGATCAATTAACAGGTAAAAACTCTAATTTAAATACTGTACTAAATATTGGTTCCAGTTCGAAAATTCAATGGTACAGTATAAAAAAACATACATTTCCAGATATTAATTTATTTTTTCTGGAATACCAATTTTAAACCCAAGCAAAATAAGACGTATTTTTATACTGGAATCAAACTTTTAACCTCTGCAGTCGTATCAGCCACATGCACCTTACTCCAGTGAAGTACAACACAAGCATCAGCTGATGCACTGGTGAATGTGAAATCCTGCGATTAAACCACTCACAAACATCAAAATCCCTCACCAATGTACACTTCACTCAGGTGAGTTCACTGCAATGGATATGAACAAATCTCAGCATCAGTTAGGAGGAATGTCAATAAAAAATTTCATCACTGGCTTTGTGTTCTGCTCAAGACAAACACTTTGGAATGTACATTTTGTATAATGGACACAACAAACGTTTAATTTCATGTACCTTTCAATATCAAAACAACGTAAACAGATTTAACATTAGACCACAAATCCTTTTTTTTTATTCTCTGCCTGTTAGCTAACATGGAAAGCTCGTTCAACGTCAGCAATAGTATATTTTATATGATGCAGCTTGTGTTGTTGACATGAAGAAAATAACAGTACAATGTTCAGAGAAAGGAAAAACATTATAAACATCTTAGCTACTGTCCAGTTGACAGCTCTTCAAAATCAATATTTCAAATGGCAGCAACTTAAAACGACAAACGTGGACACTCGGCTTTTCATGCTTTTAGCGTTCATAAGCACATAAATAGTCAGATGCACAATTGGCAAAGTGTACACCAAGACATTATGGGCAAGAGCAAACACAAATGCATTACCCTCCCGAATACTAAACACATAAGTGCTGCTTCACAGAAGTGCTCTTTCAACATTTAGAACGAAAGTGCTCGACCACAGGCACAGCCGTGAGTATTTGTAAATGGAACATTAATTAAGCTCGTTTCAATTTTACTCGCCAAAGCCGCGTGAAATTGGGGGCTGCGTCTCAAATGGAGGCATTCTGGGCTTGACAGGGGGGGCTCCTGCCATATGCCTCAAGTGTTTAGACAAGAGACGTCATCTCAGACGATGCCAATAACACAATTAGTGCAGTGCCTTGTTAGCCAGTGCAGGTACTCAATATAAATATATGCTCCAATTAAGTGGACTGCATGTTATCATTTTAACCACAACATAACTCTTAACTGAAATCCTATTTAATAAATTTTAATGAATGTTCGTGTCCCAAATCACCTTAAATACAGCCCAATCTCATCACATCTTGAAAACCAAGCAGGGTTGAGCTCGGTTCGTAGTAATAGGATGGGCGACCAGCAGAGATTGCCAGGTGATGTCGGCATGGGGCTGCCAGACGGTCAGAAGATTACATGCGACGCGTCAGGCCCTTGTAGACACGACTTTTCTCTGGGTTCTTCAGTTTTTGCCCACGTTAAGCCAACCGCTCATCAACCGTATCTGCCAACCATCCCAATACAGGACCCTCATAAAGTGTAAGTAATGTTCTGCAAGTATTTAGTGTTATAATAGGCTTATTATATTTCACCCATCCATCAATTCTGCCAAGCTAGCACAATTTAACCTTTACAATGAAGATACAGAAATGTAGCAGTGAAAGGCCGACAAAAAATGTATACCGCACCTACGTGGCTATGCTTTTTAACGGAGCTTGGTACTGGCAGCAAATCACAAGTGTCAGTCCAATAAATCGTTCCCCCGCCACCTCCCCCCCCCCCCCCTTTTTGAACCTAGCAAGCAGATGGATAAAATGTAAATATTTATAAACTATCTCGATCTGAAGTTTCCGTGACTGCAGGGATCCATACTCTTTGGTTCTTTCGGTAAAGTCACGTAGGTATAAAATAAATTAAATCACGACGTTTCGGGCACAACACAAGCGCCCGTCATCAGGTGGGACAACCACAGCAAGAAACAATTGCTGAAGTGGTCAAGAAAACTGCTGAAAAACAAGAGGGGGGAAGCAAGCGGGGCTGGGAAGCTGAAGAACAAGATGCGGAAAAAGAAGCAACAACAAAACGCAATTATGGTTTTACCTCCCGTCCTCCCTTTGTTCTCCCTTCCCCCGTACTCTCGCTGCCTCACCATTCCTCCTGCCCCACGACCCCCCCCTCTGCCTCCCCTCCCTGGTCCCCCCCCCCCTCTCTTACTTATATATATATATAACCTCTTGTTTTGCAGCAGTTCTCTTGACCACTTCAGCAATTGTTTTCTTGTTGTGGTTGTCCCACCTGATGACGGGCGCTTGTGTTGTGCCTGAAACGTCGTGATTTAATTTGATTTATTTTATACCTACGTGACTTTACCGAGAGAACCAGAGTATTTATAAACTATATTTTGAAATCCATGTAATCTGCACAAGTCTGTACAATTACCTATCTAAAATTACTGTACACACATATAGCACATTTTAAATAACATTTTAAATAATGCCTGAAGTTCTGCAAGAAGCTCTAACAATTTAAATCCCACTGCGAGCTCATATGGTTAAAACGTTTAATTCATTAATTACAAATCCAATAACTCGGGCATAGGCCACTTGTGAAACCAAAATTCATAACAGTTAAAAATTACTTCAAAGCTAAAGTTTGTCCAAAAAACACATCTCGAGTCAAGAGAAAACGCAGAGCAATAAAGCTTCAGGGCACAATTTTAACCAAATAATTTTACATTTCTGACATTTTCACACCTGGTAATCTCTACATTAAATTCTCACAAAAACGAAAGAGCCATGTCGAGTGCATTAAGTAGAAAAATAATATATTATTGTTCTCCGATGTGTGTTCGGGTTGTACCGTATGTTGTCCGGGACCACGTCTGACGTTTCGCTTTACGTGCTGGGAGTTCGTTCCCAAAGAAGTTTCAGTTCCTAACGCGGCTCCCAACACGCGAAGCGGACGTCATGCCGAACAGGCGCAACACAACCCGAAAACACATCGGAGAGTGATACAGCACAACTGCAAAAAACTACACAGTAAGAATATATTATAATCATTTCAAAAGTCGAATTAGAAAAATCTTGGTTTAATACTCGACACATTGTTTTAAGTTTACAAGTTCACAAACCCCCGCCCTTTACTTCTCAAAATATTGCAGAGGCTCCTCTTGACAAGTAGCTAAAGCCCTGCAGCCCCAGCGATGTGAGAAATATCCGAGCCGTCGCCTCCTCCTCCTCCCATGAGCTGCGATGGCGACAGGGGCGACGCGTGCTGCCCGTGCATCGTGTTGAGGTGCCGCTTGAGGTCCGACGTCTTCCCGAACGCCTTGAGGCAGACGCGGCACACGAAGGGGCGCTCACCGCGGTGCCTCCGCTCGTGGTCCTTGAGGTGTGACTTGTGCTTGAACGCCTTGAGGCAGAGCGGGCACATGAAGGGGCGCTCGTTGGTGTGGACGCGCTCGTGTTTCTTCAGGTCGGGCCCCCGCGCAAACGCCTTGCCGCAGCGCGTGCACGCAAACGGCTTCAGGCCCATGTGCACCTGCTTCAGAGGCCAAACAAAAGCGAGGCAAACACGTAAACTGTTTGCATCTCCAAAGGCGATAGTAGAGGTACCTACACATTACTTAACTTTGAAAAATAAAAAATATCGAACACGGGCAGCTAACCGGAGTGTATCTGGCGTGGAGATGGGGAAGCTTTAATTCAGCAGCAGCAGATTAATCATGGTTGATGATTTGGACAGCTCAATTAATGCCAATTTGTATGTACCATGTTACCAATCACTTGTTAGCTTCTGACTAATTATTGTTATCAAATAATGTGCTATTAAACCACTTTTTACCAATTTACTCAAGATTATAGTTACTGAATGGGAATGTATTACGATCTCAAAGTCAGAAAAAACCCCATAACAGCTGAGAATGCATCCCACTGCCTGAGGCTCAGTCTTTTTGTAACAAAAAAAAAGTTTCTATCCGTGGCAATGTCTTCGTCCACCTCTATCCCCACTTTATCATGTCAAGTGCTGGGTATGTCGTAAGTGACAACTTAGTACTGAACAAAGTGAGAAAATCCTAATGTTATCAAGTAATGCATCAAATGTGACAATAATTTATTAAAACAGTCATGGTTAATGAGAGACCTTTATTTACCTGGGAAAACCTTGCCAGTCGCTAGACATTTTCAAGAGTCTTCTTGGTTATTTTGGTAAAGTCACGTAGAAGGGAAATAATAAAATAATTAAAATTTAACATGTAATATTTGTATTACTTTATTATTTCCCTAAAACATGATTTATTATTTTATTATTTCCCTTCTACGTGACTTTACCGAAAGAACCAAGAAGATGAATCCCTGCAGTCACGAAAGCTTTAAATCGAACATTTTTCAAGAGTGTTGTGGCCAAATCTTTATTGTGTTTGTGCTGGGGGAAAACTAAATTGCCACAAAAATCCCACATGTACTGTATACGAGAGGAGGAAATACATCAAAAACCCACAAATGGGTCAATAACCTAATTCCTTTCTTAAAATTGTCACGTGCCATCTTAGTGAACTGGAGGTAAAAAAAGTAAAAACACAAGCATCCATTTCAAAAGCATTGAGGTCTATGTGACCAAAAGGCTTTCCAAGATAATGTGTTTCAGCTATTCGTCTACAAGGCATTGGTCCAGGTTTTTCTGGCCGATGGCCATACAAATATTTTTTATATATATTAATGACAACTTCTATCGCACCATAACATGGCAAGCCATGCGAAACAGGCCCTTGTGCGTTGATTTACATCACTTGTTCTGCACTGAATGAAGGCCATTTCGTAAACCTACAACTGGGAACATCACGGACATGGTGACCAACCGCCACCACCTCCAAAGAGCTGCAGCGAGACGTCTCCTGCCACAGCGATCGTTCGTCAAGACGGCATTGGTACCATGTCCACACTTAACAAGATGCATAACTCAGCTACTCTCAGAGCATCTGGGCATATCCATCAAGGATGATAAAGAGTTCGAAAGAGCCCAGAACCTCTTTCTTAAGAAGTGTGGTGAGTTGTAAATTGACAGGACCACTTGGCTGTATTCTGTAGTTGCCTCTCGATTTGAAACGTTGCAAGGTATTTTTAGCCGTGGCACCTCTTCCCACCCCACATTCGTATTTGTTACTGAAAAGGCAGGTTTTCATGATGGCAATGGTTAATGAAATAAAGATACTGACTTGCGATGCCTTATCGTTGCACAGAAGCTGGATATAAGCACACCCCTTGGGAGCAAGTCCAAGTGTGCTAATATCAGAAGTGTGCTTGTAACAGAATTTACCCGTTTCCTTTCCCCACCAGTGTAATGTAATGTGTTGCATAAATCATAACGGTGGTTGTATGAGATCTGCTTTATTCAGCTTCTATTCGATGTTGTTGTATTGTTGTCATGAATTAAAGTTTACACCAAAACGCTGGCACACACACTCACCTTCATGTGCTCTCTGAGATGGGGCTGCTGCATGTAGGCCTTGTCGCACATGATGCACGTGAACGGCCGCTCGGCAACATGGTGCTGCTCGTGAGCACGCAGTCTCGGCTCGGACGAGAACGCACGACCGCACTGCTCGCAGAAGTACGTTCCACCGCCACTGCCACCACCGCCGCCGCCGCCACTGCCACCGACACCCACGAAGTAGTCCAGGTTCTCTGTGGCCTCCGAGTCCACGGCAGCTTTGCGCAGCGCGTCCATGTCCTCTCCGCCTAGGAAGTCCTGCTCGCTTGGCATCAGGTGGCGGTGGTGGTGGTGGTGGCGTGACTGCTCGGCCACAGAGGCGAGCGCCACAGGGCCGGCGAGGGCTCCCGGTGTGCTGCAGCGGTAGAGGCCGCCACTTACGCCGCACGCGTGCTCGCAGCTGCTGCCATGGCCGCTCACTCCAGAGCCCAGCGATTCGCCGAGGCTGCCCGAGTAGGGCCCGTTCACGACGATGGCAACGGCTCCCTGCCCTTTCTCTGCCTCCAGGCAGTCATGTGAGCGACGCCTGCATGCCAAAGCAACCAACCGTAAAGAAGCAGGCGTGTAATTGTGCACCGATTCGCCGATTGATACACGATATTGACTGATGTGTGTGAGAATTGATAATTTACAATCTATGCAGATTACATGTGCGTGGCATGCTGTTACCTTTCAGTGAATCTCAAGCAAACAAATGTACAGAGGCAGCAACAAAAGAGAAACAATAATAAAGAGACAAAATAGAATAGATTTGACTTGAATCGTGACCCACAAAGAGTGGCAGTTAATGACATTGCTAGGGGGGAATCGTTACATGCCTACAACAAAGGTGCGTTGTTCTCACAACAGCTCTGCAGCAGCAGTCCAAATACTGTCTCCACCGCACTACTGTGGTCCGTATTACTGGAGTGACGCTGCAATGGCAGTAGTGCAGAAGCACAAAGAACCAAAAAAAAACATTCGTCAATAACACTTCCCTATAACTGCTCTATTCTTATGAAGATATAGGCAGTAGAGTAAATAAAAAAACACATTGCAATCATCTGCTGATTGCCAATAACTAGATCTGGGTTGCGGTCAAAATGTAGTTTAAATGAAGATGAAATGCAGCAAATATATTGTATCTTGTAGTTTACTACCGAGGCTGTGATCTGATTATCCAACACCAATTTAAAGCAATGTTAATGAGAAAAAAACCTATAAAGATGTGGTCAAGCACATGATAGCGAGTTTCATCTCTGTTTAAAAAACAGTGAAACTAAAGCAATACTTCCTTTCATCAACTTAATATATTTTCCAGATTCACAAGACAACCTAAATTGCAGACAGCAGAGGGCAGTGCAGAATATCCATTGTGCTACTGTACCATACACCCCCGGCTATGCTCCCCACCTTCACCAACCCAAACTGACTATCGAGAAATATGGTCAAATAACCCGCATGACCGACACGGCGTGGTGGGAGGACCTAATCAAGCAGTGGATTTACAAAGTGCTTTTACTGGATATGAACATGTCACAAGACAGCCGGTCATAAGAACATAACCTAAACGTCCATGGTGCGTTTATAAACATCCCCATTTAGTTGACGTGCCTCTCTCGAACAATTACACTACGCCTGCTGCCATCCCCGTGCATGGCAATGAAACAAATAATTGACTCAATAACATTTTACCAAGACTCTAAAAAGAATAACATGTGAATGCCTCACATAAATGTAACACGGGACATTTATAGATCACCAGTGCTGCTACAACCCAAGTAATGGCTTCCAAATGTTTTGAGGCACAAATTCATGACCAGCTGGTTGATAATACAACTCCAAAATCAGTTGCCACGTTGAGAAAATTCCACAGCTACTTATTATTTTATCGGCATAGCCTGAACTGCAACAAGCCGGAACGAGTGAAATATGGGAAGATATGTTGCGCTATGGCCAACAAAAACAAAACATGAATCTTCACTGTCAACAGATACACGCCTGGTAATCTTCAATCGGTAGGTTTTCTCTATGTCCACTGCATGGAACATACGAAAGTGCACATTAAGCATATCTCCCAAAAGGAACTGCATTCATGAGGCTTAAGAGTGTTGTTAGGGAAATATTTAGTTATTTTAAACAAACCTTTCGATAAAAAAATGAATCTCACATTGTAGCATAATGCCGGTGAAAATATTTGCTTGAAAGGCAATCTAACACTGTGCCATGAACCCAGTGAATCAAGTTTGATTCCCTCCACGGCTTACATCATTGGCGAGGGGTATCTTAACCGGTCCTCAGCACCACCCTTCACCAACCTGCACTGACCAGTGAGCTAAAGTTTAGTAATTTAAACCCCACGACCCACAGCATGAGGAGGCCCTCATCAAGCAGTGGATTACATTTCACGTTACATTCCTCAATGTCACTGCATTACAGTATTATGCTCTCACATGTCCTGATACAATTTTACGATGACCTTTATAACCAGGTAAGAGTGCCCAACAGCTCTTACAACCAAAATCTGATTTGGCAAAGTGTTGTAATTTTTTTTTTATCAGTGCCTTCCTTGTAAATTTTCCCTACATTTCGTGTTGACCGGTACAGCTACCTGCAGGGTGCCATGACGGGCCGGTGGATGCGATCGCTGATGCTGTAGGGGTAGCGCGCTTTTCGTCGTCCCTCCGATGGTGAAACCGGTATGGGTCGCGGAGCGGACCCTGCCACGGACGACGGCATCGGCTGGCAGGAGTGGCCCTCGCACAACGCGCCGCGCTTCTCCGCACAGATCTCATCGACGAAGGCCACGCCGAGCGCCCGCCCGGACGCCACTACCAGCTCGAGGTCCTCGGGCTGGACGCTGATCTCGGCCGTGTACATGTAAGCGAGAACGGCCTCGAACACGGCCGGGCGCACAAAGTCGAGCTGCAGGACAGCCGGCCGATCTGTGCCTGGGTGGCCGCACAGCAGCCTACGGAAGTAAGAGCTGCACGCGGCCAGAACACAGCAGTGCGCGGGGTAACACACGCCCTCGACGATCACCGAGACGTCGCACAGCGCACCGCCCTCCATGCGCTGGTCGTTCAGCAGGCGCAGCAGCGTGCTGGAGTGGCGAGCATCGCGAAAACGCCGGCGTTCAAAGGCTGCCATGGCACCACCCTGTTGCCGCCAACCCTACACCACCAGGTTCCTGCAACAGATTTCTTGGCTTTTAATACAGTAAAGTGTATGGCAGAACCGTGAGAGATGGCTATGATCTGAGGCCTTCAACCAGCAGTGGGCTGATCTTGGCTCATGATGTTGAATGGGAGGATTGGGGAACCGATGGCCCATAGGCCAGACCGCTTCATATGGCCTGCAGCTACATGCGGCCTAACATTGAAAATGGGTCACAAATTATATTTATCACCGCAGGTATCTTAGCCGCGTGCCTACGTTGCAACTGTGACCCGACATCAATGTGTGTCGTAAAGTTAAGCCTTCACCATATTTTGTATTCTTATTGTATAATTCCAAAATGTGCGGCTTACCAAATATATTTCAAAGTCCTATTTGGCCCTCACGAAGGAAATGTTGCCCCAACTCTTATGCATAGCATGGCATTTATTGCACTTACACAGGCACGGAGTAAGAACTGTCAGCATCGAATGTTTAGTGTCCAGCAGTGGATTGGGAATGTGTAACACGCCAGAGCTTAGACCAAAGTTGAAGCCATTTTCCAACTAATTGGAAAGGTAAGTACATTAAGTTTATCCATTCTAATGGCTTTGATATGAAATGCATTTGGCCCCTTTTATGTGGGCTACCAGAACAAATTGACGGTACATTACTTGCAATTAGAAGCGCTGTCTTTTCAGTTATGCTTAATTACTCAGGCAACAAATTTGTTTAAGTCAAACGTTGCAGTGCATTACTATATTAAGCATAATTGGCATTCTGTCTGTTTATTGTAGTTTTTACAGAGCTGGTCGATTAGGGATGCTAAAGAGTCTTATTGTGTAGACCACGATTAAAACGGATAAACCTGGTAGTCACAGCCCGATTCCTAACCCAACCAACAGAGCCACTTGGTCAATAAATGAGGTCTTTGACCTCCGTCATGAATGCTTGGCTTCAACTTTAGACCCATAAAGTTGAAGATCTCACGAGGGTGACCCCGTGACAGTCACACCAAGTCACTTGTGAGGCCCAGCAGCAAAATTCAATGTGGAGAGAAACTTGCAAACGGCACAATATACAAACAGTGCCCTAGATTGCATCACAGCTACTAATTCCATGAAATTACAATCCAGTATCAGGAATATAGTTACTACAGTATTATATGATGGGGGAGTGGTGGCATAGTGGTCTGCACACTGTGGTATCAACTGGAAATCTAAGTTAAATTTCCAGCCACAGCTAACATCAGTGGTGAGTGATATTTAAACCAGTATTGGTCACTCCCTTCAACAAGTTGCACTGGCCAGCGTGATGGGAGTACGATACAGGAAAACAACCGCCTTAACCGAAAGGCATTGAATCATAATCAGAATATGTATTTATTTTTGAGGAATCCAATGAGCTACAAAGCTCGTGATCACAAAGTATCCAGTTGGGGCGGGTCATCTAGTAATGGATTGAAAAAAGGGCTGCACATTAAACATTACATAACATTCGTTAATGCTATTGCATAGGTTCTATGGCTTAATATTTATGATGTGAATAGATGATGATGTAAATAGATGATGATGTAACCGAATAAGAGCACCCATTGATCCCACAAGGCAATTTTTCTAGGAGACCTGCGATTAAACACTCCTTATTGTGGGAATTGGACAAACATGTCAATGAAAATAAGTCTGGATATTGTGAAGCTTTTACACGCATCAATATCATAAATATAGCAACATTAATATTGCAATGAAGGCATTGCAATTATTCTAGTGTGAACTTCAAGTTGCTATTTTTTTTGGGGTCAGTAAGATTAACACTAGCTTGCATTTATAAACGATATAATGCAAACACATTCAATATCAAACAAAATATTCGCCAAAAGTATTGGACTGTAGCGAACAGGAGGAAAACAGCCTTAGCCCACCAATGTTTTAAACTCAAACTAAACTATATTTTTTACCAGGTAAGGCCCACTGACCTATAATGTATATCTCTTTTTCAGAAGCGGCCCGGCCACAAATTATAGCTCAAAGAAGTAGCTTATCACGTGTGAATTAATAGCAGCCAAATACTGTACTCTAAACGCACTTTTTCTAAATGTGGATGGAAAACCTGGAGAAAAATCGACGCGACCGCGGGGAGATGATGCAAACTCCAAATATACAGCAGCCGTCAGGGTCGGGATCGAACCCACGACCTCCTGTATACCAGGCGAGATAGTTAACATCTCCTAGCCACCGTGTTTTTAAAATAACTATCAGACCACCGGACTTTCTGGACCAATATTTGACAGCACAATTTGTTCAGCAGGTGACAACCTGCTGATTCGGCTCAAACAAAGCAAAAACGGCCAAGGGTTTGCTGCATAAACAAATGCTGTTGGGAAACTCTGATCCAGAAGGCCTCTATTTTGAAGGATCTAAGTGTTATTTATTATTAAGATTGAACCTTGTCTCTGCTTTCGTTATCTTAACTTGCATAATAGTCCAAGTTCTAGTCTTGATTCAGAGCACTCGATCCATTACACACACGAATACACACAAACACACCAATATGTACGTATGAAGAAGTGTTACGTATAAACAAAACATAAAAAACAACATTAACAACCCCGCACAAACCAAAAAACCCACAGCAACGGGCAGCACCACGCCCGTCCGCTCGTGTCCAGCCAACCCCTGGCGACAACGGGGTCAGAAGCGAGCTTGGCATGGGCTGACGCCTGTCAGTCAATACACAACACTAACAAACACCACAAACAGTGGCCCGACTATAACATTGACGGAATATTAACTAAAAGCAACCAAGACCCGAGCGAGGCCTAGGCGGTGCGTGGGCCCTCACGTCAGCCACGGCAACTTTAACACGCGCGCTGATTTACAACGTTAACAAGTCGCTCAAGTTGACGACGAGTTGGTTCGACAACACGTGTGTTGTCAGTGTTCAGCAATTGTTTATGCCATGTGGTGTGCTTCTTTATCATAACAGGTACATGCTCACCACGGTTAAGACTGTTGTGGGAATCTGCATGCAGTCTATCGCAGCCTGTGTGTGTGTGTGGGACACGCGTGAAAGTAGCCTTCATCCAGCAGTGGATGTAACAAACAGGGCTTCAGATGTACGTGGCGTGTGCTTGTGTACAACACAAGATTGCACGTGGATACTGTAGATACAACCTATACGTGTTTGTTTTGTTTGCGTGTATGCAAGTGTGTAATGTTTGTATGTAACACGTGGGTACTGTATACACATGTTGTACGTGTTGTTGTTGTTGCAAGTGTGTGTATAACGTGTCTAACGTGTGTGTAATGTCTGTATAACCTATGGGTGTGTGTGATTATAACATGTGCATACTGTAAAAAATGTGTGTACTGTATCTAACATGTGTGTACTGTGTATATACCATGTGTGTAATGTGTGTAAGCCTAGATATGTATATGGCAGAACGTGTGTAAATGCGTGTATCTAACACACGTGTGTTCAAATGTGCATATAACAAGTGGTAAACACGTACGTGAACATAACGCTGTTAATGTATTGATATTCTTTGATCATTATACTATTGTTTGTATATTAACACCTACGTGATGTTGCTGTTAGTGTATCAATACCCGCGTTATGTTGTACTTGTGTGTTGTGCTATTTCTGTATTACTATAATACATATTCCCTGGTCGTAAAGCTATCACTGTTGTCTACCAGACGTCTATGTGTCGTTCTTAGTGTACCAACACCTACCAGGGTCATTGTAATCAGACAGTCGTCGTTATCTACATGTGTCTATATATATTGTTACTACTACTTTTAACTAATTCACACGCACGCTCTATGTATTATCACACTGCTATCATGGTTAGCCTCCTATCAGCTGGTGATAGCAGCTGACAACGCGGCGACAACAAGCAGGCGAGGTGGATGTGATCACTCTACCTGCACGGAGACACGCGGGCTCCTCCCGCGGGCTGGGGGCGGGCGCGAAACGTCGGGGACGACGCGCCCGGGTCGCGGCTCGGAGGCTGTGAGGCGCCAAGCGACGCGCAGGGCCCGAGAGCCCCGCCCCTCCCCCCCCAATACCAGTTCCCCCGCCCCCTCCACAATTCCCCCCGCCCCCACCACAATTCCCCCCGCCCCCTCCACAATTCCCCCCGCCCCCACCACAATCCCCCCGCCCCCACCACAATTCCCCCCGCCCCCACCACAATTCCCCCCGCCCCCACCACAATTCCCCCCGCCCCCACCACAATCCCCCCGCCCCCACCACAATTCCCCCCGCCCCCACCACAATTCCCCCCGCCCCCACCACAATCCCCCCGCCCCCACCACAATTCCCCCCGCCCCCTCCACAATCCCCCCCGCCCCCACCACAATTCCCCCCGCCCCCACCACAATTCCCCCCGCCCCCACCACAATTCCCCTCGCCCCCACCACAATCCCTCCCGCCCCCACCACAATTCCCCCCGCCCCCTCCACAATCCCCCCCGCCCCCACCACAATTCCCCCCGCCCCCACCACAATTCCCCCCGCCCCCACCACAATTCCCCCCCGCCCCCACCACAATCCCCCCGCCCCCACCACAATTCCCCCCGCCCCCACCACAATTCCCCCCGCCCCCACCACAATTCCCCCCGCCCCCACCACAATTCCCCCCGCCCCCCTCCACAATCCCCCCCGCCCCCCCACAATTCCCCCGCCCCCACCACAATTCCCCCCGCCCCCACCACAATTCCCCCCCGCCCCCACCACATTCCCCCCGCCCCCACCACAATTCCCCCCCGCCCCCACCACAATTCCCCCCGCCCCCACCACAATTCCCCCCGCCCCCACCACAATTCCCCCCCGCCCCCACCACAATCCCCCCCGCCCCCACCACAATCCCCCCGCCCCCACCACAATTCCCCCCGCCCCCACCACAATTCCCCCCGCCCCCACCACAATTCCCCCCCGCCCCTACAACCCAATTCCCCCGCCCCCACCACAATTCCCCCCGCCCCCACCACAATCCCCCCGCCCCCACCACAATTCCCCCCGCCCCCTCCACAATTCCCCCCACCCCCACCACAATTCCCCCCGCCCCCACCACAATTCCCCCCGCCCCCACCACAATTCCCCTCGCCCCCACCACAATCCCTCCCGCCCCCACAACATTCCCCCCGCCCCCTCCACAATCCCCCCGCCCCCACCACAATTCCCCCGCCCCCACCACAATTCCCCCCGCCCCCACCACAATTCCCCCCGCCCCCACCACAACCCCCCCGCCCCCACCACAATTCCCCCGCCCCCACCACAATTCCCCCCGCCCCACCACAATTCCCCCCGCCCCCACCACAATTCCCCCCGCCCCTCCACAATCCCCCCCGCCCCCACCACAATTCCCCCCGCCCCCACCACAATTCCCCCCGCCCCCACCACAATTCCCCCCGCCCCCACCACAATCCCCCCCGCCCCCACCACAATTCCCCCCGCCCCCACCACAATTCCCCCCGCCCCCACCACAATTCCCCCCGCCCCCACCACAATTCCCCCCGCCCCCTCCACAATCCCCCCCGCCCCCACCACAATTCCCCCCGCCCCCACCACAATTCCCCCCGCCCCCACCACAATTCCCCCCGCCCCCACCCACAATCCCCCCCGCCCCCACCACAATTCCCCCCGCCCCCACCACAATTCCCCCGCCCCCACCACAATTCCCCCCGCCCCCTCCACAATCCCCCCCGCCCCCACCACAATTCCCCCCGCCCCCACCACAATTCCCCCCACCCCCACCACAATTCACACCACCCCCACCACAATTCCCCCCCCCAACACAATCCCCCCCCACCACAATCCCCCCCGCCCCTATTCCCCCCCCCCCCGCCTCTTTGGCCCTTAACTTTGCCCCCCACCCTCCACCCCGCCCGCCCCCGAGAGCGCGCCCCTCCCTCCCTCCCTCTTGGTTATTCCCGCCCCGCCCCTCTCCCCCCGAGTCCAGAGTCCCGCTCGCTTCCTCTGCCGCCCTCACCCCGCCCCTCCCCTCCACCACCCACCGCTCTTTAGCCCCGCCCCCTTCATTATTCCCCCGCCCTCTACGATCATTTAACCCCGCCCCTTCCCCCCCCTTTCTCTCTCCCCCTCCCCACCGGCCCCGCCCCGCCCGTTTGTCGCGCGACTCAACTCCACAACCCCCGCCCTCCCCTCTCTCCTTCCTCACCCCTCCCCTCAATCCCCCTCAACCCCCCCCGCCCCTCCGCTCACACGGGGGGGGGGGGGGGTGCCCAGACGCTCCCTGCGCGTGACAAGAAAAGAGCGAGCGCGCGCGCGCGCCCCGTGACCAACGTTGCCAGGGCAACAGGCGCCCCGGTTAACCCGAGCGGAATACCGAAATTAGGGTTATAGAAAACGCGAAACAACGCGATCCACGTACCGTCACCAGAAACCCTAAATGCTACCGAATACTTGCATCTAACTCCGGCCAAGAGGGAGGTCGGCCCCTTCTCCCGTGCTGCGTGCATTGTCCGAAAAGGGCCACATCTCCATTTAATGCGACTTTCAGACAAATGCTGTCAATTACATTGCAAATGCTGAACTCCATATTTTATTCACGATAATTTTAACTTGCAACGCAAACTATTTTCACAACTGAGGCGTGAAAAAGCATGCTAGAAGTTAGCCAGGTGGTGCAACAATTTCCCAAGCTCTGCGGTCCTGTTTATATTAAGGTGTTTACGGCCAATTTGGAAGAAAAGAGAGAACCTGGAGAAAACCCACGCATACAGATGGAACAGATTCAGCTTAGTCCACATGTCCCGTACTGCCTTTTAGCAAACCAGGGTATAATGTGGCACGTCGACACCCTTGGGAAGGGAGTTTCAAAACATTATCCATTAACCCTCACCTCCACAGTGCTGGGTTACAGGTGTGCACCACCACAAACTTTATTGGTCTACTTCAATAGAGGGCTCTTTGGATATCTGCCATTGGAACATGGGCATTTCCACAACCTAACCATATGAAACAAAATAAACATACCATATTCGTCATCAACACTGCCTTATTAATACCAAAGATGAAATAAAAGTTACAATTGATGGTTACAATTTTAGATCTTCAGTTACAAGGCAGTGTTAATTACGTATTTGGTGCTTAATTTCTGTGTACAACTGCCAATGTCGTTCCTTGATTTTTTGTAAACACCATTATCCATAGTAATGGGTTTTTACCCTTTTATCTGGTACAAAAACTGACACCTTTATACAAGGGACCATGTTTGCAATAACCACAACACAAGCAATCAAAATGCAAACAAAAAGAAACAACTCTGATAATGATAATGATATGCACTGTCCTTGAAGTTGATTGGTCCACACCCGAGACAGCTTTTCTTAGAGCCTAGTCCCCATTAGTGTTGGACCGGATGACGCCAAAAGGCGTACAACTCAAAAACAGCGCACTAAAAGGGTAAAAACCTATTGCCTATTACTATATTTCCTACTGGTAAAGGAGGTCTCATATTGTAAACCATTATCCATATTAATTGCATAATTATAAGAATGTATGAGCATACTAAAAAAAACACCTTCTAGACCATCAACTATAACCAATGTAAACTCTTAAACTTCAACAGAGGCATTGAAGTAATACACAGCAACATCAACTGAACCCAATTCCTGGATAAACGATCTGGGCACAGTCTGATAAGGTGATATTCATCCAGGTAGATGAAAGAAGACCTTTGGCCACGTGCCCATATCCAAGGCAGGAGATGAGTACGGTACTGACCATCGTTATACAAAGCATGGGGCATATAAATTGGTTGGCTTTGTTGCATTAAAGCTGCTGCTTAGGTTTAAGCCTACACGATGAAATCGACATCATCAGGAACAATGTAAATTGTGCATAAAGAGGAGCAACCACATCATAAAGGGGCACCCACATCGATACCGTCAACGTCATATTAAAAGTGGCATACTAAAATAGCAGACCTTGAAGGTCAGTATCAACTGTCCAATCGCTGTGGGATCTTGCAGAAGGAAGAAAGTGATGGTAAAGTGTTTGCGGCATCAATTGCATTGGCTTTCATGACCTTTAAAACTGACTTTCCTGAAGAGTCGATATGATGATTCTGGTTAACACGTAGCCCACAAACCTTTATTATGAATGATGCTTCTGTTTTGTATTTGTTCCCTCATCCATGGGATCCTTTTTATATCTTTCAGTGTAATTGCAAGCACACATATCTTATTTTTTTTCTGAGTGTACTTTTCCAGATTCTGATCCATATCTCATTTCAGGTAATTTTCACTGAGTGCTAAAGTTCTTCTTTAGGCCCATTGGTGTGTTACTTTACATGATTGAATTCCAGCTTTTAATAACACTCTATATAGTGCATGTTCACTTTCTTTATTTAATGCTTTTCACGCCAATCTATATCAACAAAAGCCTTAGGTAATCGTATTTTGCTGTTTTCTAGTATTATCCCTCCAACAATTATTGCTTTTTATAAAATATATATTTACCCCAACTCTGTGGCATTTTTTTGTTAAGGTATTCTATGAATTTCCATAGTTCATTTAAATTGTTGTTATCATGACTTTCCTCACCAAATCTGAGATGGCTTTTCCTTTCTCCATTTATGTTCATCCAGTACGGTACTCTTTCTATTTCTCAAATTTAATCTTCAGAATAACTTTCCTAATGTTGTGATAGATAATATTGGTAAGGGCATATCTCGTTGCCTAACTGATTTTCTGGCTTGTATTTTTTGTGATCTTCATACAATATTATTGTAAAAGTTCCCTCTTTGTAAACGGTCCCTATATTTTCTATATGTTTTCATGAAGGCCTTGGTTTTTGTGACCTTGGGTGACTGCATAAATTTCCACTGCGTCGAATTGCCTTTTCATATTCTGCAAATTCTAGTAATGATATGAAATTAATTTGTCTTTTCCGGAATCTGAATGACAGTCTGTATGTAGTGGATGGTAAAGCAATTTTTTCGAAACCTTGTCTGCTAACATGGTAGTGTTCAACTTGCAGCATCACGAAGGATAGCAATGGCTTGGGGAGACCTTCACCTAGCAGTGCATCGACGATGGCTGATGATGCTAATGAAGATCTGCTTGATTTTATGTGGTTAAAGGTACCATCTGATACTTTATCTATATGGCATTCATCTAACATTGTTACCCCTTTGAGCTCAGCTGTTTCAGAGCCCCGGTTTCAGTCCCCCCGCCCACACACTGACCATAACAAGTGAGCAGTAAATTATTTACTCTGTGTACAAGAGTCGGGGTGAGGGGGGTGAGGGCAACACTGGGGTTACCCCGAGGCAATGGTTGTCTCAACTAGGGGTCTGTGATTACAGCAAATCCTCACTGGGGCACTTTTGGCTCTTCCGTGGCTGTCGGCAGATGTCGCTTTGTCTCTGTTATTACTGGTTCACACTATATAATATCTTCGTGTTAAAATTTATAAGCCACCTAAAAGCCCTTAATGGGGATCCTTCAGTGTTTGATAGTAAATGCCTGGAGGGCATTACGCGACCCTCTCTCCACAGTTTATTTGTTTCAATTACTAGAGAAGCATTGTTTAAAAGCATCGCTATTAATCGCCCAAAATAATTAACACATACTCTACAAACATTATGCTAATTGCAGTGCACTTAGTTCGTGAAGAGAATTGAACACTAAATCATGACATAGATTACTGTACAATATTTCTTTATCATTTACGATAAAAGTACATAAACAACATACATTACGTAGTGTAATACAATTGAATTGTGCAACATACGTAACAAATACTAATATTGAGCAATAATGCTAATTATGTAAATGACCGTTCAACTCACCAAGGCCATGGTCATATATCGAGCAAGATTTAACTGAAGCTGTGTTAAGGATTATCCACAATTGAGGAGACAGCAAAGCAACATCACAATATATGGCTTTAACATTCCATAGAAAGTGACGGGAGCAAATTGCTCCAATGTGTAAGTAAAACCCAGTAATCTTGCATATGGTATATGACATCAGAAGCACTTTCCCTCTTGTTACAGACATTTAGAGTTATGATGGAGTGGTAGTGCAAATATAAACAAAGGAGCAAGGGAAAAATATCTTCCTGTAATTTATAAGTTATGCAGCCTTGCATACAAATTATAAAGGAGTGGTGCCAAGTGCTGCATTTGGCACTGATTACAGCGTGCGGTCTACTTAAAAACGCCTGTTTATTTTAATAAGGCTGGGAGGCTCAGGGCTAAGAATATTGAGTTAGCAACACTGAAATCTTGAGTGTGAATATGGGTTTATCCGCCTATGATCAAACCAGGCTCAGTTTAACACTTCAGTGGGCTTTGCCTGGTAGGATGGGGATGGTTTAGTTTTATTTGTATGTTTTTTGGTGATTTGCTTACCTTTCTTGTACTTTGCACTCCCATCGTGAATTGTTTGTTGTAACATTCTTACCCGCCCCTGCTGGACATCTGTGAAAAGCGCTTCATAGATTATCGGATTCCTCCAGTATAAATACATAATCTGATTCCGAGAAGTTAATATCCTCGGCCCAGTTTTCACTTAATTTAGCTAAATACCAGCTGTGAAAATATTTTTTTTTTATTTGATTGAAATGCAGCAAACATTTTGCTGTCGTACGGTGTATGGGAAAGTGCATAGCGTAGTGTGTGGATAAATAAATATCACTTGAAGTGAACTCAAAAGCAGTTCAATATTTCCTTCCTAACCCAAACTCGAACACATTGTGGTTGCACAGCTATGCCTGTTCGAATGGATACTGCCTCGTGCTATGATGCCGAAAGGAAAACTGGAAGCAAACTGTGGAAAACACAAAAAAAGTAAACAAAGAAAATTGGTCTGGATGACTGGGTAGTTCAGAGGTCACAGAACTGAGCCGGCACCACTGAGATTCTGGGTTTAAATCCAAACAGCCTACCGTGATTAATTAAATCAGGTTTTAAAGTTTTCGGGCGCTCATCATCTCAACCCAGTCAACAATTACTTCACAAAAAAGAAATCACTTTAAATATGATTTCGCATTTCATTTAGCTAAATTCAAGGTCGGATCATTGAAAATACTGGGTTGACTGTTACGTGACGTACACTTCTCTTCGTGGTAGGGCAGATGGGAGAGTTCTAGATTTGAAGCTTTCGTGACTGCAAGGATTCATATTCTTAGGTTTTTTCGGTAAAGTCACGTAGGTAAACATTACAATTAATAAAAGTAAAATAAAATAAAAATCACGACGTTTCGGAGGCAACACAAGCTTCCATCTTCAGGTGGAACCGTCACAGCCACGACAGCTGTATCAAGTAACAGCACTTGCCCGAACATTTACTTCCTGCAGCTGTCGTGGCTGTGACGGTTCCACCTGAAGACGGAAGCTTGTGTTGCCTCCGAAACGTCGTGATTTTTATTTTATTTTGCTTTTATTAATTTTTATGTTTTACCTACGTGACTTTACCGAAAAAACCTAAGAATACAGATGGGAGAGTGTTGCCTACTAGTGTGAATAAGATGTCACTTTCAGAAGCAGTGCTGTGATATCTCCTACCACGAGCTGTTCTAGAACAAGGGGCGATGAACTGCGCTGCGAGTTCCCAAATACTGTTTGTTTCATGCCATGGCGTAGACAGCACTGTGAGGATACAATTTGGGTAAATAAAAACGACCCCATCACATGATATCACGATTCATTTGGTGGTAAAATCCCAAATTTCAAAGACATCGCATACAATTTATACAGGTGTATGGGAGTACCTATGAAGGACACACGAGTGGGTGGTGTGGGCAACACCACGCCCGGCCGCCTTTGTCTCCCTAGAGGCGATGTTTAAACATGGCACCAGGTACTCATTTGAGGCTGAGTAGACCTAGGAGAGGCCCAGGACCGGTTCAAATAATCGTCACTGGTGTTGGCCGTGAGCGGGTATCAAACCCGGCCGCCAGATTCGTAGCGCAGCGCGCTAACCTCTACACTACCTCTCCCCACAATCACACACACGCACACAGGCACACACGCATGGGATGCTGGAATGAATAAACACACAGCTGATCCGGTGAACGTTGACCCCTAGAGTGGGCGTGACCTCGCAACGCCCCTCGCTCTCATTGGCCAATGGCCTTGGCGTTGGCGCCACATGGAGCGCACGTGTTGGGCACGACCGTGGGCATTTAAACTCTCGGCTGAGGCTGCGCGTTTCAAGTTGCTCGGGACTCCCCATTTGAACAACAACGGCAATTGTAATAGGCCAACAACAGCACGCTACTTTGTGCACAGATGGCGTGCAGCGGCGTCCTGCTGGTGCTGGAGAACTACATCAATGGCGAGTTCGTGGCCAGCGAGACGCACGTGGACTCGTTTGAACCATCATCCGGCATGGTGTACTGCCGAGTCCCCGACAGCGGCGAAGCCGAGGTGTGTGTGCGCGTAATGTTAGTATTGTCTTTGCGGGGAGTCGTAGTGTAGCCCTGGACATACTTGTTAATGCAACCGCCGGTGGAAGGGATTCCAAATGCAGGAAATTTGGCCTACTCTTCCACGTGGACACACGGGAGGATTAAAAAAGCAACTGGTCATTTTATCTGCCACGCGAGTCGAACGAACCAGCGACTTTTGGCTTCAAATTTCATTGTTGCCTCCCATTAGAGCTGAATTTTACTACGTTACAAGTTTGACTTTAAAGCAATCTTTCTCAAATGTGTTTGGCTCGCGGACCATTTGGCCGATGCAAACATTTCCGCGGACCGCCCGGCCCCTCGCCTCTAATGACAAAACGCATTCACTTCTCTCTAAATACCAGTGAAAATTATTCGTATTACCCGTACGTGTAAACTTTTTTTAACGCAGCTATACGTTTTTTTATGGGGAGGGGGGGCATTTAGACCATATGGCAAGGGTAGCTTAATCTGCGTAGTAAAAAAATGTATGTAAATATCATAAGTCAAAGCTTAATGTCCAAAATAACAGGTCATTATGTCTAGCTCAACCTCCATTTGCATCACCGCTCGCGGACCCAACCTCGAAGGTCCGTGTCCACTGGTGGCCCAGGCGCCCACACTTTGAGAGCACGCCACACTGCTTTAAACAACACGCAGTGTACGCTGTGGCATGACGGTGGCATGACATCCCCTCTCGCTGCCGCTGCGAGCAGGTGAACGCCGCGGTGGAAGCGGCGAAGCGCGCCTTCCCGGCGTGGGCTGCCACGAGTCCCCTGGAGCGCGGCAGGATCCTCACCAGGCTCGCCGAGCTCATCGAGTCCCGGCTGGAGGAGCTGGCAAGAGCAGAGTCCCACGACCAGGGTATGCCTGTTACCTCTCGTCCACTTGACAACCGAGCCACATCGTTTTCATGCCTTGCCATCCATGCACGGCTCAGGAGGCACCAGGTTGTTTCACCCTGCCCTCGCTCGCAGTGTTTGGTCGGAGCTAGATTCAGATGTCTTTGTGGAGCCAATGTTTCACAGTTTGGTTCTGGCTCGGCTCGGTAAATTGCCAGTGGGAAAACCCACCCTTGCCACGAGAGCCCCGCACTGGCGTGGCTCAGATGCGCCAGTGGAAAAGGGATGTGTGTGACTCGAGCCATGCTGCACTGATACCCAGATTTCATGGGCAGCAGTTGCTGTTCTTTTCCCTAAATATGATTGATGAAGACTTTAAAGAGAAATACTTGCCAGTCAAAGATCGGTCGGAGTGCATTTCTGACGAAATGAAAGTCAAATGAAGTGTAAAATTAACTATGCCAGACACAAACTTGATTTGAAGCTTTTGTGACTGCAGGAATTGCTCTTTGGTTCTTTTGGTAAAGTCACGTGGAAATAAAATAAATTAAATAATATAATACGACGTTTCGATTGCAACACAAGCAGTCGTCATCAGGTAGAACTAAATTTGAGAGAGAGACAAAACACAGACACGGAGACACAGACAGATACACAAGCAGAGAGAGACAACACAGAGACGCATAGAGATAGACACACAACATAGATACACAGAGACCCAATGCCTCTGTGTCGAGGCCTTAAATAGAGAAGCGGGGCACGACACAGAGGAATTGGGTCTCTGTGTGTCTATGTTGTGTGTCTCTCTGTGTGTCTGTGTTGTCTCTTTCTGCTTGTGTGTCTGTCTGTGTGTCTCCGTGTCTGTGTTTTGTCTCTCTCTCAAATTTAGTTCTACCCGATGACGACTGCTTGTGTTGCAATCGAAACGTCGTATTCTAGTCAGTTGAATAAAAAAAATATGGAAATGCGGGGCCAAGGGTGCAATTAGAATACTGTAAAAAATGTAAGAAAACTTTGATACTGGCAAAAAGGTTCTATTTCGAGTACTGTACATACTCGAGTTCTGTGGCTCATGGAAACCTATTTACTTATATATTACACTAGTTTATTATGGGAGATATCCTCCATGATTGGAAATGCTCACCCCCAAATTAGTTTGGCTTCCAAGAGGCGTTGCTGAATTAATAGTGCGTTATTGGAGTGTGCATTGTATCGATTATAACACAGCATACTGTGTATATCGGCAATGCTCTTTAATGTGAGCAGTCGCTGCATAACTATTAACATTAACAAAGACAATTTCTCAATAGAAATGGCAAGCCATAGTACGGGGTTTGCCACGTGATGGTAATGTTGATATATATACTGATGATGCTCGTGTTGTTGGGGTTTATCATTAAACAGTACTATACATATATTATGCAAAGCAGGACTTGCCTGCTTGCATGCAAATTAGTTTTGCATTCACAAAATGTTAACCTTTCACAAATGCTAACATTTCCACGCTTTGAAAATGGGCACTCGCATGTTTTATGAATAGATGAGGTTTCGTGGCTCATCCAAGTGATTTCATATCATTTATAACTGCTTGTGGGCAGTGCCAATATTTGAATGTTTGTAAGCTTACCAAATTTGTTTAAAAAATATGCACTGTTATTGTAACAAGCGTCACTGGCAGATACATTTGAGCAAATTTTAAATTTCCAATTTGTTTTCGAACGTTCATTAAAAACTTGCTCGTTTGCAAATGTTGTACTGCATCGACCAGGGAAGCTTTATTTATTTATTTACACGCTTTTATTTATCTCACTCCGTCTGTTGTATCCTTAAAAAAATCTTGCAACTCAATTTTTACCCACTTCCCAATGTGCTATCAACTGTAAACTTGGTAAACTTATGTCATATTGATGACAAGACTATATTCTATCATAAAAAAATATATATATTTAAAAACATTTTACAGGCTTTTATTTAACTCTGTTGTCGTATCCTCAAATCTTGTAACTCAATTTCAACCATCTTCCCAATGTCGTATCGACTGCAAACTTGGTATAGGTGTGTCACACTGAAGACAATGCTATATTCTATCATTAAAAATAAAAATGTATATTTTTAAACAATCTTTTTTACGGATCTAATTGTCCACGCTCAACTCACGTTGGCTGTAAATCACCATGGTCCCTTACGTTATGGAGTCGTGGAGTTCTGCCATTACGAGTACGGTACATTTCATTAAAGCGTGTTTAAAAAAAAGTATTTTTAAATATTTTATGACAATAACATTTGGCTCCACTCATGTTTCTGTTTCCAGGCTCGTACAATAGAGTAACTGGAAACAGTTTTTGCATAAGAGGCGTTGCATAAACAATATAAATGTTTTCGTGTTTGGTTGTCCTTCCCCCGCACCTCCGATCAGCACGGTTGGCTTTGTAGGGTGCGAAAGAAGTTAAACATACAATGATTTTTTTCTGAGCTGTTTGTGCACACAGATTGTCGAATGATCAACAATGTTAAGTAAACAATTATTTTAACTCCGTGCATGCTGGCTAAGGCATTCCTGAGTATTGGAGAACAGTGTTTAACCCTGGTGCGTAAACCAGCAGATAATATATTTCGCCGTATTCCAGTTACAGAAACTTATTATGTAAAAAAGGAGCAGTGTAGTTTTCAAGATCGGGATCTTGGGCCCTGTTTTGTCTCACTGGCTTCACCTGTTTAGCAGTGGTAGTTGAAGTTGCGGCAACTTATACCTGGACAAACATGTTTTAATTCTCTCTCACAGTTGGACAAAAAATACTTGACCCCAATTTAACATTAAATTGCGATTTCATTAATCTGTCACACACAATCCCACCCCCTCTTAATACCGAGCTGATTTAATTATGTAAGTTTATCCATTCAATAAATTCTAGAGTGAAACCGCTCTTATCTGTGGAGATATGGGGTGTGTGCTCTTCACAGCTCCTGTCATCCTTGTTTATCTACTTTAGACCCTGTTTTCTGTGCAAACGTCTGAATAAATGCAGACAACGAGTGATTTGCCCCTTGAGTGTGATGTGATATCTACCACTGACATCACCACTGTCACTATCTTTATCAAGATCATCTTAGTCATGTCATCATCCCCCATTTGTCTAGTGACTGCTAGTAAGAAGACTGCTCATGCTGTCGCTGTTCTCAATGGTTCTGCGACGCAAAACTCCGTCTCACCTTTGCACATGAGTCGCCTTCGTTGCTGTGTCTCTGCAGTAGTCGCCCTCGGTGCATTTTCTTCATCGGCAAAGTATCTATTAATCGCAGACTTTTGCCAGCGGTGGAAATATTTTAGTGTGCCGTGGATGAAGACGGATATAAATCCCCCACCCCACCCGCTTATCTGTGAAATGGCCACGAATAACAGAAAAGAAACAGATATCATGCGTAATCGGGTTGCTGATCATTTTTGAGTGCCATTGTTTATACTTTCTACTCTCTATACAGTATGAAGTGCATACAGTGGTGCTCATCTGATTAAAATATTGTTTTGCAATCACTGTACTGTGCCACTTTCATAAACCATCGGATAGGTTTTATTTATAACTTGATGAAAGTCCGTGAGTGTGCAGTAATGGAAAACAGACCTTTGTGTTTTGACATTCAGATCTGCCCTTGACTCTGACACAATAAATTAAATAATGATTGCAGTGCTGCCTTATGAGTGCTGGCCTCATCCCAAATGTCAGGGCATGTTATCTGGCCAAACTAAAGGCTCTGGTAGCATCAATAGGCATGGGGCTTCACTAACAATGGAGTTGGAGGATATTTTTTATAATTCTGTTCCATTTCTCGAAATGTATCAATATTGTGCTATCGGCATCGTGTCCTGAGACAAAGGAGTCCATTGGGAATACTTGCAGAGCAATGCATCATCACACCCTAGAGAATGGTTCGTGGAAGGAGATATGACAGAACCTCGACTGAATCTCAAGTGACCTCTGATCCATACTTAGGAGCAGCAATTCCCCCCCCCCTTCCTTTCTCCAGAAAGAAATGTTAATCACGTGACATTCTGTTTTTTTTTCTTCTCAGAGCTGGAAGGTAGTTGAATCAAGCACAAAACCAATGCAACATTATTATTATATGCAATCATTCCAGACCAAAACTATCAACTCATTACAATTGCGAACCTGGGATAATCAAAGCGGCTGACCCGATTGAGTCCAGAGTGTCAGTAGAGCCCACTTGGCCCTCTTGTCTGTTGAACCTCTTAGAATCTCGGTGTACAGTAGCAATGTATCGCAATGATGAAATGAAACAATCGGTTCCACTTATGTTACACTCATCAAAGCTGTGTGTGTTAGAATTAATTACATAATACATTAATGTTGGGGTGCAGTAGTGTTAAGTGCTCCAGTGGCGAGATGTTAACTACCTTGCCTGGTATACAGGAGGTTGTGGGTACGATCCCGACCCTGCCACCTGCATATTTCGAGGTTGTGTGTTCTCTCTCTCCCTAAAATGCTTTTAGAATATTTGGCTGCTATAAATTTCCACATGATAAACGACTTTGTTGGGCTATCATTTGTGGCCAGGTTGCTTATTAAAATGAGCTATATAGCTCAGTGGGCCTTACCTGATGAAATAAAAATTGTTTTTTTAGTAGTTCGTTTTTAAGTGCTCCGCTCATAAAATGTTGTTGGTTGTCTGAGAAATATATTGTGAATTTTAAGTTGGTGTGCTACTTACTACCTTTATGCTGTGCTTTGCTCAATCGTGCTTCTTCATTCCGTTTGCGCTGCAGGGGTTGTGTCGTACGCTTGTGCGAGAGGCGTGATACTGAGTATCAAACGATTACACGTCGCCCTAACTGGTCGACTCTGAGCGTCCTTCGCTGTCATTGCAGGAAAAACACTGGAACACGCAAGAACAGTGGACATCCCGCGCGCCGCGTACAACTTCAGGTTCTTCGCGTCCGCCGTGCAGCACTACACCAATGAGTGCACGCAGGCTGACCACATGGGCTGCATGCACTACACGGTGCGCAGTCCCGTTGGAGTAGGGTACGTAACCGCCTGGCGCGAAGCATTTGAAGAACATTGCACGCACGGACAGCAAGCAAGTTTGCGAGCGAGCCGCAGTGCTTCGTGTTTGGGGCATTGAGTTCATTCTTAACTGGGAACACCGGGCATGATGTCGTAGTCGGTCACGTTGGCACGGTGATAACTATTACTCGATCGTGTATCGTTTTGTCGTTTGAGCTTGTACTATGTTTTTTTTTATACTATCATAGACTCGGGAATATGTTTTCGGAGAGAAAAACTGTGGTTTTTGGTAATGCGATTGTACGTTATGGATATCAATTGACTTTCATAAAACTGTATAGTATAAAATTCCCGCTGGTGATGTTAGCCAATTACATATTCGTATTAGTCTGCATATACAAAGTGTCGTGAGTTTGTATTGTATAAAGCCACTGGGTGAATCTAAGTTTGTTTTACTTTTAATGTTTTTTCCACACAATGGAAATTAGATCTGAATATTAGTGTTAAGTGCGGTGAACATATAAAATATCTTGATTCTTACATTTTGAAAATATAAACAACTTTAAAATAACTTTGATGTCCCACACAAAGACTGTTGATTATTGGAATAAAATTAAACATTATTTGAGGACAATGTTTCACTTTTATTGTGGAACAAAACAGAGTGGCACCAATGTTGAGTGCTTGCATCAGAAGCACGAGTCGGCTGTAATATAACATTCCCAGCGAAGCGTCAAGTACAAGACTTGCACCTCCTGCCCATACTGAGCTCCGGCACACTGCGGAAACTGGCCACTTTACTTTTCCCCCATACGTGTGTGGGCTCGCGTATGGAGAAGACAATGCCGAAAAGCGGACCCTGCGCCACAGCGGGAACAACGCTAGGAAGAAGAAGTGTGTGGGCTCACGTACTGAACCTTGTAGGTCGACAAATAATGAGCTTGTTTGGTGTGCACGTGCTTTGCCAGTTGGGCTGATCAGCCCGTGGAACCTGCCGTTGTACCTGCTCACGTGGAAAATCGCTCCAGCCATAGCCCTGGGAAACACGGTGGTTGCCAAGCCCAGCGAGTTGACCTCTGTGACCGCATGGATGTTCTGCATGCTGCTCAAGGAGGCTGGTGAGGTGGCCTTTTACATCTTTCTTGTTGTGAAAAATCTATAACTTTGCACATCTCTTGTAATAGCCATTACATTTACCCGATGCTATTCCGGTTGTGCTATTGGCAAAAAATAGTTTTATGTTACGTTAATTTTATTTATTTTACCAGTTAAGGCCAACTGAGCTATGTAGCTATTTTTCAGAAGTGACCTGGTCGAAAATGATCACTAAATGAAGTGGCTTATCATGTGGAAATTCATAGCAGCTGAACACTCTGGCATCGTTTCACGAGTAGACATTGCATCGTCATCCCTGTCAATGATGAACGTCCGTTAATGGAAGCTGCATTTTGTTGAATAATCACAGCTACTATAAAGCCGAATATACGTTATGGTCAGTTGTACATATCTTTGGTCAGTTTTGATGATAGTAAAAAATGTATGCCGGTTGCGACAACTTGACTCTAGTATACTACGTTAAAGCTCTAAGAAAAGAAAAAGGTCTCATTCTTGATTACTATACTACAGCTTGAGAGATTCTTATGTTACGAGTCAATGCAGTTCACATTATGTCCCTGTGCTAATTGCTGAACATGTAATCCATGGAGACTGTAAAATTGGAGGTTATTAACTGCTTGCTATACAAATACACAACTATTTTAATGATATCGCCTGTGTAAAATTAACGGAGTCAGTCGGCAACACTGTTAATGAGGTATTTAATTATTCATCCCAGCAGTAATAATTTGATTTGTTCCAAAATTATGGTCATTCCTTTCAAGACTTGATTCTTTTTTGCCATCTCAATGGTATTGTCTTGTTTTTTTTATTCATTCCATTAAAATATATAGCACATAATCGGTGTACAATTCGCATAATTAGTCATCCATTCTCCCGCGCAAAATGCAATGCACCTATCGCGAACGTGAGATTCTGCAATAACCGAATGAAGCAACGCATCATTGGGTGATTCTACGGTTCAGGCGTGCCAGCCGGCGTGGTGAACCTGGTCCTGGGTACGGGCAAGAAGGCAGGCGCCGCCCTCGTGAGCCACCCCGACGTCCCAGCGATCTCCTTCACGGGCAGCACGGCCACGGCGTGTGACATCACCGTGCGCAGCGCCCCTCACTGCAAGCGCCTCTCCCTGGAGCTTGGCGGGAAGAACCCCGCCATCATCTTCGCAGATGCCGACCTCGATGCCTGCGTGGCGACCACCGTCCGATCCAGCTTCGCAAACCAGGTCAATGGGGGGCCTTTTCGCTCACAGCCGGGGGGGCTCGTCCGGCTGTGTTTTCCGATAGGCCACGTGCCATCATCACTCTCGGTTAAACCCTTTCCTGTTCCAATGACGAGTACGTCTACATCATCGGAACGGAACCGGAAGGGAAAAAACAACTTTATCAGTACCACTGTTCCCACAAGACCATGCGGGAGGGCGTGTAGCACAGTTTGGCGCCAGCTATCACAGAGTGGCATCGTGCTGCTACAGTTCTCTGCAGTGAGTACAGTGTCTTTAAAAACGACGTCGATATGCCTCTCTAAATAAAGTTAACTCTAACCGCTTGCACGTTCTGAGATTCATTCGGTGGTGAATGGGACCCACCCTGCAAACTAGAGACGTCTCGGAATGGTGAAGGGTTAATATTTGTAGCACGACTGCAATGCGGTATTTCTCGGTGTTCCCTGTGGCAGGGAACCCCCTGCGGCATCTTTCCCTGTGTGGCACAAGGTGAACTTTGCACCGGCCAGCAAGTGAAAGTTTATATGCCAGTAGGAAGCGATGTTGCTATGCGCCGTGATCAAATTGGGTACACACCAGCACACGTGACCTACTATTAAAAAAAATAAAAATAACTTCACAGAATGTATAGTGTCCACTACAAAACAGACTGCATGGATCATGGCAGCCGCGGAGCCCGAACTGCAAACTTTTTTAAACAAGCAGAAAACGTGCTACCACTCGGCCATGCTGCTGCCCATGTGCGATCGGCTTTTATTCATAGCAAAGTTCATCAGCTATATTTTCCCAGTGGGCTGTGGTGCAATGGTAAGCACACTGGACTTAAATCCCCCTGCCTCTTGTCCACGCAGCAGTACAAATGGGGGTACATCACCACAGTCGATCGGCCGGTTGCGTGCGATGGGGTAAAGTTTGGGTACTTAGCTCTTGCAAGATATCTGGCCAGTGTGTAAGAGTAGACCAAAATACCCCCGAAGTTTCTTTAGAACTCCCTCTAGTGGGGAGGCCCTTCTGTGAACGGTGGTGTGAACAAGAATTTTCAGGGCTGCATTTCCACCTCGACCAAAGGGGAGGCTCAGACCAGTTTGGGATACTAACAGCCGCTAGTGTTGTTATATCATTGAATATCTTTTCTACATTGTCGTGAATCTAGCAGCCTCTAGTGGTTGGAGGGGTCATGCACACTCGTTATAACATGTAAACTATTCTTACGCACCAGATGATGCAGGTATAGTGAGATTAAGGTCACTGTTAATTAATGATTTTATAATTTTTACACCCCTAAAAGGCACATGAATGATTCACCCCCTGCTGATTCATTTTGATGAATTGTCATGATTTGGAGTCATGATTATTTCAAAAATGATTGTTTTGTTTACAGCGTCTTGTTTGTGTTGCCTGCCTCAACTATATTCGCCTTTTTTTTATAATCTCATAAGGTACTGTGTATCAACTGTACTGTGTATCCCTTAAATTAAATTTAGTCTTTTTTATGATTGTGCTAACCATTGACCTTCTGGTAAAATTTCAATATAATTTACTTGAATTGAAAATAATTGTTAATATGATTGAGTCGATGCATATTTTGTGAGCATAAGATATCAATTTTATTCGATGCATCAATTAATCTTCAAATGCCGAGCAGTAGCTTATTATGTCCATGTATAGATGTATCGCTTGTGAATTGAGTATCGGCAAGAAATCTATATGTAAGTTGTAAATCTAGCTGATGGCTTTAGAGGACATAATGTGTATACTACTCGCGCTCTCGGATAATGCTCGCAGTGAACATGCGTTCGCCACGTGTTCCACTATTGAAGTGTACCGCAGTGGCATTTGGACGATTCTTTGATTTACCGCTGGAGAATGTTTTCTTCGGACCAAGCGCCACTGAAATGATGCTGGATTCAGATTTTTTACTCTCTAACATATCTTCCTACAGGGAGAGATCTGCCTGTGCACAAGTCGTATCTACGTGCAGAGGCCCATTTTCAAGCAGTTCCTGAAAAAGTTTGTCGAAGCATCCCGTGCATGGAAGGTGGGACCTCAGAATGACCCCACCTCCAACATGGGACCCCTCATCAGCAAGGAGCACCTCGCAAAGGTGCGTGTGTGGTGCTGTGGTTAGGGCAGGGGTGAGATACTGGGCCTTTAATCGGGTGCCCAATCGGACTTGCAACCACACATTCCACACATTATTAACACGCACCTCGGCGTCATCGAATAATTACGCAAAGAATTGTGTGCGTGTTGATGGAGATTAAAGAGGCCCCTGCAGGGACAGAAGTTATTGCAGGGGCCTCCGAGTATCCTAAAACTAGGAAGACCGTTTTTGGCGTGTCGAATTTATACCCTTCAAGTAACTGATACACGTGGCTAAGATGCTTGCAGTGATGGACAGATATCTTTGTGGGCCGTTTTGCAGTGGTAATAATGTGGCCTATTGTTGCAGGACAACAATTTGTACCCTTTGTGTTTGTGTGTAATTATGCGTGCATGTAGCCTGGCACAAGAACGATGGTGACCTCAATGCCACTCATTGGTGAATGGCAGCTGTTTTTGCTGTTGTCCTTTAACACTTGGTATCCCCAAGCAGTACCCTACACTAGTACAAATTCGTCTCAACCCCACTTGGCTTCCTTTATCTGGTAGCTACAAACTCTCTGACCGGTGCGATGCCGCGTGCGTGCGCGCAGGTGCGTGGATACGTGGAGCAGGCGGAGCGGGATGGCGGCTGCGTGCTGTGTGGCGAGGGAGTGGACCCCCTGCTGCTGCCCCCGCAGTGCCAGGGCGGCTACTTCCTGGCGCCCACGGTCATCACGGGCGTGCCGGACGACTCAGCCGCCATGCAGGAGGAAATCTTCGGACCGGTCGTGTGCGTGTCGCCCTTCGAGGACGAGGACGAGGCGGTGGCCCGCAGCAACTGCGTGCGCTACGGGCTGGCGGCGGTGGTGTGGTCCAGGGACGTGGCGCGAGTGCATCGCGTGGCCAAGCGTCTGCAGGCTGGCATCGTGTGGACCAACTGCTGGCTCATCCGCGAGCTCAACCTGCCCTTCGGGGGGATGAAGGCGTCGGGCATCGGGCGTGAGGGGGCCAAGGACTCGTTCGAGTTCTTCACCGAGGTCAAGACGATCACCGTCAAGTACTGATCACGCGTGATCTGTGTACCACCTGACCAAGCCAATCGGCGTGCTACATTAAATTAAAATCCTTCATTCCTTTTATGCCTGGTTAGCTATTGGTGGTCATTCAATGATTAATTATAAGTGTGCAGTATATTGGGACTAACTTGCAGGTGGGACTGAATGTTGCCTAATGATATTTGTGTTCTCTTGATGAAAACAATCAGCTGATGCTAATTGTCTGTGCCTCTTGTATTATGTGTATGATAAATTGCCGACTTAATCAAATGTATCCTTGCAGAGTTTTCTTGCATTGTTTAGCTATTCATTGCCATTGTCTTTTTAGAAGTGAGCAATGTATTTTACTCTAACTTGCAGATGGAAGCGGATTTTTGGTATGAAAAATGATGTCTGCTAAAATTGTTAGAGCTTATGTTTAATGCTGTGATTGTCAGATTCTCATCTATTATGAACACTGCCTTATATTACACTTTTTCTTATATTGATTCAGTAACTAATAATGTGCACTTTTATATTGGTGGATCCAATTGGCTTGTGATAACGGTAGGTGAGAAATGCTGATTTAATGTGCTTTGAAAATATGCAATTTCTACCACTGCCATGTAATGTTACCTTGTTATTGCACTCCTTATAATTCTGCTAAATGCACACTGCCATGTGATCCTCATTTTTGATTATAATTTTTTTAGTAGAAAATGCCAAACCAGTTGAAGTATGCGAGCAAACACACATTGCATTATAATCGGTGTTAACCACAAGCATTGACAAGAAGTACCCGTGGTGCCTTGATTTAAGTTTGAAGATTCTACGCACGCCCGTCTGAACTTGTCTGAATAAACACTGCTTGCAAATAACGGGGACTTTGTCACTTGATGGTGTGGCAGCATCGGCTCGCTGCTGATTCAAGTGACCTTTGCCCGAGGCACTCAAGGCAACATTCCCGGAGTTGATGGGACCCAGTGCTCTGTGCACTGCGGTGAATGAGTTTGCAGATCTTACACCACCGAGTGGCAGGACAAACCTGTTCAACCTCGCGCCGCCCGATTAGCGCCGTCGGTCTACTTAGGTTGCAAAAGAAGTTCAACAAGCAGACATCCTCGCAGTGGCTTTTAGCTAGACATCGAACAAGGACGGGTTACCGCATCGTGCGCTTCCAGATGCACTTCTGCGACCGTCTGGAACGGTCTTTTAGATATAAGGAAGCCACTGGAGCTATGGACTTTTACATCTGAGTTGAGAACTCTTTTTTTTTTTAGAACTGCTTTTTGTGTTTAGTTTGTCCTTCCCTGATGTACGACTCTTCATCCGATGTCCTATTCACACAACACGATTCTATTTTCCTTGCACGTATCACTATGTGACTGGCATTTGCTCTGTTTATCCCCCCCCCCCCCCCCCAAAGTGGCTGGAGTTTAATTATTTTATGTTTCCTCCAGTATGTTAGTTCTGGGGTTCCTTGTACAATGACTGTGACCGGTCTTGGAAGCAACAACAAAACATTTCTCCCATTTCTAAGTGAACAGCTGTAGAATGAAGCCATCAAAATGTATTCTACCCCGGACGATGAGCACTGGAGTTAAAACGTGCCGATTAAGTTTGAAGAAGAGATTGATATTCAAGTGAAAAACGTTAATTCTTCCTTGGATGAAAAAAACCCCTCCCAAGATGAAAACATAGGAATTTAAGCTAATTCTAGAATACAATCAAGTGCATGTATTCATTCAAGTGTAGTACAGCTATTTTTATCTGAGTGGTAATTTTGTGATGTTTATTGCACAATAGAAAGCTCTTCTCAGTGGTTGAGAGCAGAATTGACACTCCACCCACGGTTTTATCTTCACATTCGCCGGTTGTGCCCTCACTTTGTTACAAATACTGTACAGTAACACTGTGGTTACACATTACACAAAGAGTCTATTGGCTTGGGGAGCAGCCTGTGTTGTTAAGCGTGTTTACTCGATGGTCTGATAGCATCACATTGTTTCAGTACTGTGAGCTGCAATGCAAACTTGAGGATTGTATTAAATCGCTTTGTTAAACATGTTGCAGAAAATGGAAAACGTAGTAGGAAAATCAAACCTCGCAACAAAAATCACACCATACTCTTTGGTTCTTTTGGTAAAGTCACGTAGGTGAAAAAATAAAAAATATAAAGAAATCACGACGTTTCGATTGCAACACAAGCAATCATCATCAGGTGTGACAACCACGGAAAGATTTTTTTTTTATTGAAAACTTCTAAAATCACACCGTCGGTTTTGGTTATCGAATGTCTGCTGATGCTGGGGGGACGTGGGCCATGGGGGGGGGGTGGGATGGACGTGAAATGAATCGGAATCTTTATGCGGGAGGAATCCGATGATCTATAAAGCGCCTTTTCACACGTCCAGTAGAGGCAGCTTAGAAAGTTACAACAATAATACAAAAAAACACGGATAGGAGTGCAAAGGGACCGTGCATAAATTACGTCACGTACCTAGGGGGGTGGGATCAGACATTTGTGACGATGTGTGACGAGGGGGGGGGGTTGAGAAATGTGACGTCACATCAAAATACGTAACTTTAAATAAATATAGACAACACGTTCTACTTCATTAAATATACTTTTTTATAAATGTTTTATCCTACAACATCAGAGAGCAGCGCCAAATTTAATACGCACTACGATGACAATAGTTTAAAGCGATTTGAAGCATGGTTTATTTTGGGGGGGAGGGGGGGCAGAGCTTTGTGACGTCATATTTGAGGGGGGTGGTCTGACTTTGTGACGCCGTGTGACGAAGGGGGGGGGGGGGCGGTCAAACATCGTCCAAAATCGCGTGACGTCATTTATGGACGGCCCCAAAGTATCGGAAGGGTAAAAACATCAATCACAATTGTTTTTTAGTTTTTTCTTTCTTAAAAAAAAACTACTTTATTTAAATGTTTTAGGTTAAATACACTCATTTTGTTTGTGGCGCCCCAGGACGTGCGTTCGTCACCGGGGCATGGCGCGATGGGGGTTGTGCAACGCGACTCGAGGGGCGTTCCGTGTGGATGATGTATAAGGAGGGCACCCGGGGTGAGAGGCGAGCTGCTGCTGCTGGTGCTGCTGGTGGAGTGGCCCTGCGAGACGCGCGAACGGTGAGTCCCGTCTACATCCCCTCCCCTCGGGCTCGGGTTTGGAGTGGGGTCTCACACAAGCACACACACAGCTACACACAGTAACACACACACAGCTACACACAGTAACACACACACAGCTACACACACAGCAATGCACGCAGCTACACACACACAGCGACACACAGTAACACACACACAGCTACACACACACAGCGACACAGTAACACACAGCTACACACAGTAACACACACACACAGCAACACACGCAGCTACACACACAGCAGCTACACACACACAGCTACACACGCAGAGCGCTATGTGGGTGTTGTGTGTGTGTCGTGTTCTGCTATCGACGGCTGCCCTTGTGTGTTTGTGTGTGAGGTTTGGTTGACTGTCGGTCATCTGGTCAGCGCTCGTCAGCACACACACACAAAGACAAAGATCCCCCGTGTAGCCTTAATAGAATTTAGGGGCAAGTACTGTTAGCGAGTAACACCTATGAAGGCCGGCACGGCACACGAGGGGGTGGGTGGCCAGCACCACGCCCGGCCGCCTTTGTCTCCCCAGTGGCGATGTTTACACACCGCACCAGGCACTCATTTTAGGCCGAGTCGACCTAGGGGAGGCCCGGGACCGGTTCAGATAATAGTCACCGGTGTTGGCCGTGAGCGGGAATCGAACTCGGGTCGCCGGGTTCATAGCGCAGCGCGCTAACCGCTACACCACCGCTCCCCGCACACACACAGTGTACACACACACAGTGTACACACAAAGTGCACACACACAGTGTACACATCTATATATATAAAATCGTGAATCTGTCTGTCTATCTGTCTGTCTGTGTGTCTGTGTGTCTCCTGACCATACGCACTTTCATTGGACAGCGGTTGCCCCTGCCAACCGCTAGCCACGCCTTCGCCACTTTCATAAGCGCCGTAATTAATTAAATAATAGCCATTACACAGTGTTGTTGGCGCGCTAGGGGGGGGGGAAGGAACGCCACCCGTACCCTGCCTCTTCCACGTGGACAATTTTAGGCGAGGCCGCAGGCTTTGCACGCTACTAGGCCTCGACACCCACCACGCCACTCTGAGGTAAATTCATCAAAGTTTTTCCTACTCTTCACTACACCCCCACCACAATGTGTGCTATTAATATTACTTTTAAACCCAACGCGCCAACAATCGATTACTTAAATGTTCACTGTACAAATACTCATTAAGCTGGGTGAGCGTACTGACAGTCTATTATGTACACTGTAGCCTGCTTATTAAGCTCTGTGAGCGTACTGCCACTCTATCATGTAGACTCTAGCCTGCTTATGAAGCTGAGTGGGTGTACTGGCAGTCTATAATGTAGACTGTAGCCTGGTTATTATAATCGATTCTTTAAATGTTCTTCGTACAAATAGTCATTAAGCTGCTTTAGCGTACTGCCCGTCTATTATGTAGACTGCTGCCTGCTTATTCAGCTGGCTGGGTGTACTGCCAGTCTATCATGTACACATTAGCCTGGTTAGGAAGTAAAGTTAGTCAATTTGTAACACGTACGCTTTCGCAAACATTATTCATAAACAACGTTATTGCGTTTAGATCGCCTTATTTATTAAAGTGTTGTCACCCTTATCCACCACCCGACACGCCCAATCTGCACACAATTGTCACGTTCATAAAAGACTAAGACTTGACTGCTTTAGCCCACCGGTGTGTTCAAGCGGAAAACCACAACAATTACCATTTCTCATGAAAAAACTACTGTATAATTATGTTTAAACCCCACGCGCCAATAATGGATTTGTTTAAATGTTCACTCAACAAATACTCATTAAGCTGGCTGAGCGTACTGCCACTCTAGAATGTACAGTGTAGCCTGGTTATATTTCTGGGTGGCTGTACTGACAGTCTATCATGTACACATTAGCCTGCTTCTTAAGTAAAGTGAGTCTTTTTGTAACACGTACGCTTTCGCAACCATTCTTCACAAATAACTTTATTGCCTTTCGCTCGCCTTAATTATTAATGTGTTGTAACCCTCCACCACCCCACACGGCCAATCAGTCAAAAAGTGTCCCGTTGATAAAACACTCATAAGTCTCTGCTTTGGCCCACCGGTGTGTACACGCGTAAAACCACAACAATTCCCATTTCAGAGTACGTCCTTTCGCTGATGCTGGATGCAATTACCAGCCAAACGTCGTACTGTTCAGTTGTCTGTCCATCTGTGTACGATCGCTTGCGAGGGATTTGCCGGGAGGCACGTCCCGTGCCCCGCGATGGGAATACGCATGTCACTGTGTATGTGTTTGTGTGTATGTATGTGTGTTTGTGTGTATGTGTGTGTCTGCGTGTATGTATGTGTGTGTATGTGTGTGTCTGCAGCAAGCGCGTGTATGTGTACCTATGGACGCGCGCGCGTGTGTTGTGTAGGGGGAACGGTAGTGTAGTGGTTAGCGTGCTGTCTGTGTCTGTGTGTGTGTGTCTGTGTGTGTGTCTGTGTGTGTGTGTGTGGTGTGTGGGGAGCGGTAGTGTAGTGGTTAGCGTGCTGTCTGTGTGTGTGTGTCTGTGTGTGTGTCTGTGTGTGTGCGTGTGTGGTGTGTGGGGAGCGGTAGTGTAGTGGTTAGCGTGCTGTCTGTGTGTCTGTGTGTGTGTGTCTGTGTGTGTGTGTCTGCGTGTGTGGTGTGTGTGTCTGTGTGTGTGTCTGTGCGTGTGTGGTGTGTGAGGAGCGGTGGGTGTAGTGGTTAACGCTACGCTGCGCTACAAACCCGGCGAACCGAGTTCCATTCCCGCTCACGGCCACCACCGCTGACGATTATTTGAACCTCCCCTAGGTCGACTCAGCCTCAAACGAGTAACTGGTGTGGCGTATTAACATCGCCACTGGGGAGACAAAGGCGGCCGGCCGTGGTGGATACAAGTCCCGGGCGAAGCCGGGTAGTACAGCTAGTTACGTTATATTTGTCAGAAAGCCCACGTGAAGTCTGAGTAAAGTGTCAATCATTTATGTTGCGCTGCATGTGTAATATTTGTAGTAGCTTTCATTTATTGCATATTCGTATGGTATATTGTATAGCTGTACTTGCTTATGATAAATAGCATTGTGTTTCTTTGATGAAAGTGCAAGCAGTTTTATTACAGTCAGCTTTCATTCACAGTGAGTGTCATCATGAGCAAGAGGGTGGCATATATTTTTTCTGGGGGGGGGGGACCCCCAGACGCCCTGGAAGATTTGGTCCCCCCCAATGTTGACTCTATGGCTACGGCCAGCCTTGGTTAGCTGTGTTAGTAAATGGCGGCTTGCCATCTGCTTCCACCTCCATGTGGCAATGGCTCCTTCCGAACTCTCTCCGAGCTTACATTTACAAGCAAATCTCTTACATTGACACGTTAATCTCTCACAATACAATGGCCACCCCCACAGCTTCGTTTGTCAAGATTTCTCCTATCTTACATTTACATGCAATTTTCATCTCTAGCCCCGCCCACTGACCCTTGGGCTACACCCATCTCAAACCCTTATAACTTTCTGCCTTAGCAGCGCTCCAACCATATATTTTATCCTGCCTCAGCAGCTCTCCCGTTATATTTTTCACCTGATGACGATTGCTTGTGTTGCGATGGAAACGTCGTGATATTGTTATTATTTTTCTATCTACGTGGCTTTACCGAAAGACCCAAAGAAAATGAATTCCTGCAGTCACGAAAGCTTTAAGTCAAGATTTAACACACAAGGTCGCGCACTCTACATGCCGCAACCCCCCCCCCCTCATTAATAATCATGAGCAGGTGACGTCACTCCACATGCCGCACCCCTCCCCAATAACCATGAGCAGGTGACGTCACTCCACATGCCGCACCCCTCCCCAATAACCATGAGTGGGTGACGTCACTCCACATGCCGCACCCCTCCACAATAACCATTAACGGGTGACGTCACTCCATGGGGCAACCTTCCCCATTAATAATCATGAGCTGAACAATTTTTATTTTGAATATTTCAGATTTACTGCAATATGTAGCCGTCCTTGGACGGGCAAAAAAGCTAATTAAATAACGATACATTAAGAGAAGGAGAGAGGAGTGAAACTATAAAGTAAGATGACAGAATGAAATCAGAAGGCTACATTATAGAACAAAGCATGTCGTGAGCCTTGATTTCAGAGTAGCCACTTTTAAAGTATCCTACATTTATATGGTCTTCCTGAATCATTCACATGTATGTGTATACCTGCATGTTGAACGTGTTTCACGCCGTACATAGCCAACCGTGCCAATCGGAGGTGCAGTTTGGTTGGTGACTCAGTAGGTGAGAGGTCACGGGGGCGGGGGGCTCACAGTAGGTGAGAGGTCACGGGGGCATGGGGCTCACAGTAGGTGAGAGGTCACGGGGGCATGGGGCTCACAGTAGGTGAGAGGTAATGGGGAGGAGGGGGGGTCCATGGTCCTGCTGATCTGGCAGAACTGGTGGTGCTGCTGCTGTTTCTGAGGGACTGGAGTGGGGAGTTGGACCATCCAGGGAGTTGGTGGTGACTTTAAACACCTTCCTGGTCATTCCCTGGACTTTTTCTGATGTCGGGAGGTCAATAGTTTACTCTCACCGCATGCCGTTGCGTGTCTGGGGTGACTGCGGGATGGACTGTCCTATACGCTGCAAGACTGCGGTGTAGGAATAGTCCGTAACATAGTTCACGAAAAGTTTGTTGTAATATGTTTACCCCTGCACCCTTGATCATGTGTTTTTTGTATGTATGTGTTGGTTATTTGAGGTGTTCACAACCCTTTTTTACGTTAAAATGTTCACAATGTTCGGCATTTTGAGATGCAATTTGCATGAAATGCACTAAATATAAGAAACTTACTATTATACATACCTGATAACTGTGCAAACTGTGTACTGTATACCACATTTCAATCCTTTCGTTGAACAGGGAACCAATAACATCAAGCCTGACTGCTGATGATACCCAGATGGTTGAAACCGGTCCAGTGTTTGCCTGCTTAAGAAAATGCTGCTGAATAATATTGGCCTGCAAAACCAATGGGCTGATGCACTTGAAAACATTTAAAATGTACATGCATGCGGAGACAGACCGGAGTTATACTCATACCGTTTATGCTGATACACCTATGTGCAGGCTCCCTTACTGAAGCTTCGTTGATGAGAATGCTCTTCGATTCTGGTCAACTGCTTCCTTTGCAGCCTACAACAACCTGTCATGCATGTGAAGAGGAGTTGGAGACTGGCTAAGCAATTCTTTATTTCTCCAACCCACAGCAACACTCGTTCCAAAACCAACCCTGAACACGCGTCCCACAGCCCCTTTTAACCCCTCCATCTCCTCCCTCGTGCCCAACACACATCCTCGTATCGCACGCCTGGTCTCTGGTGACGTCGGTGCCCTCTAACCCTTGACCCCCGTCCAGTGTATTCCCGTGCGTGCGATTGGTGCGTGTTATACCGAGTGCGGAGATTTCATGTCTGCGTGGTGTGTGTGCGTGACGGCGGCTCGCAGATCCCTTACACATGCATGGTGGGCACCCATTCAAGCATTAGCCTGCCTCGATCCTCCGTAGCTTCCAAGACGAAACCAGCTTGGGGACATTCCTGTTCATGCTGGCCTCGGTCACTAATGGGCTGCACCTACAAATGTAATTGCAGCGCTGTGGTTATCTCTTTAATGAATGTTTGCACTTGTTTTGTTTGCTGCCACTGTGCCACGTCGTCGATTGTGGTCGTGGTGCAGGAATATGGCAGGGATTCCGCCAGGAACGGGACCGTACCCGGTGGGCTGCACGGATGTGATGACTCCACACGGCGTGCAGGTGAGCTGGCTGAACGCTGGGGTACAGGAGGTGTTCAAAGTGGACTAGAGGGCGAAGGAGGTAGTGGCGTGGGGCACATTTAGTGATTCTAGAAGTGTTTATCTGGGTAAAAAAAATCAAACTGAGCGTTGAAAATGCGCAGTGTGTTTACCAAGCTGCAGTGTGTACAACATTTTTTGGCATGTGTTCTGACGGCTAATGCAAGATCAGACTATGTCCGTCTAGTGTCTGCCAAGCTGCATTGGCTTCCAGTTGCCGAACGATTACATTATACAGTTGCACTCATTATAAACAAAGTGCTTGCCACAAATGAACCACAATACCTTGCTGATCTCCTCAGGGAGCAGAAACCATCACGCGAACTCCGGTTATCCGCACCTACGATTAGTATGGTTGTCTACGTACGGTGCGAAAGAAGGTCAACATACATACATCCTCGCAGTGGCTATTGGCTAACCATCAAAGAGGGTTACCACATCACTCGCTTTCAAATGTGCTTCTGTGGCCATCTGGAACGCTCTTCCTTTTGATATGAGGAAGCCACTGGAGCTATGGACTTTTAAGTCTAAATTGAAAGCTAATTTGTTGAACTGCTTTTTATGTTTAGTTTATTGTCCTTCCACCGGTTGGCTACGTATGATGCGAAAGAAGTTCATACATAAGGGTTGTGAACACCATAGAGAAACAAACGACACATGATGTAGCGCACATTATTTCGGTCAACAACACAGCCTTAAAGGAAATTAATCAATAATGGGTGACATTTTGTGCAATGGTCCTTCATAACACATGCACGTATTACGTGTGTATCTACATATATTTTCTTTTTAAAGTAGTGTTATTGACAAATGTTAGTTTTTGTGGTTGTGCAGGTATTAATTTTGGACACCAACCACCACCACATTGATAAGCAAGAAGGCAGCTTTCAGTGCACTCCTGCAGTAGGAATCACAATTCACAAACAGGAGGAGAACATTGAGAGCGTGGTTTAGGACTGCGCACTTTGCAAGTAATGCCCATAATACAGGGTGCTGTTAGAAGTACGTCAGCAGATGCGTTGCTTTGGCAGGCCAGGTCTTTTTGATGGGCTATGCAAACCACTTTGCAAGAGAAGAGAGACACGACTTGAGTGTAATAAAGGTGAGTGTAGCTGTATGTACGCGTTAATACGATTCTGCGAATCCTGGGTGGATTGTGCGCAGGATGCGGGAGGCACATTTTGCCGAGACTAGCCCGGGGGGTCCCAGGGGGACACCTGAAAGACCAGATGGTGGGAAACTTGCAGGGAAGCTCTTGGGAGGTCACCAGTCTACTGTGCAGCAGCTGAGAGTAAAAAAAAAAGTATTGGGGAGGTGTGGTGGTGTCGACAGCTTTGGCCATGGTGATTATTCTTGATCATAGTCTAGTTGACAACAAACTGTGGAAGTTTAGTCAAGTTCAGGAAGAGTTCTCTTAGCCCAGTCTTAGTGGTTCAATGTAGGTGTCAGAGGCGCACAATTTCCCATCCCCACCCCACACATTTCAGGTCAGCCAATCAGTGAATTCACTACATTTTGATGTAAATACTTACACTTATAGCCAATTATGTTTGGTCTGCACCAGTGTACTGCAGTCTCTGATGTTCCTAAATTGAAATCTGCAACTTCATTACGACGAGTTCAGTTTGTCTCGTCACAGTGGGTAGTCTTAGTGATCGTCGTGCTTAATTTCTGTCCACTCATCGTCATCGCTAACGAAACAAAACGCTGTTGTCGAATACCTGTCACTAATTTCATTAACAAAATCAATTGACGGAAAACCCCGTTGTCGAGCACTACTGTCGCCAATTTTCTAAACAAACTCAACATTGCTAACAGGTGGCCGACCAGCTCGTAGTAGCGTGGAGCTGGCACCGCTGACAAGCTCCTCCGTTTGAGGCTCAAGTGCTGTCAAGTCTTCCTTCCTCCCTCCCCGTCGCATTTCTTGGCATCGCGTGTGTGCGTGCGCAGGGCAGCTTCATGCGCGTTTACTACCCGGCTCGTGATGCCGTGGTGAAGCAGCCCAAGGTGAACCCGCAGCCGCTGTGGATTCCTCGCCGGGAGTACACGGGCGGGCTGGTCAACTTCCTCAACCTCAACCCGTGCTTCACGAGCTTCTTCAGCTTCATGTTCGGTGACGATCTACCAGCCACACGGGGCACCGCTTGCGCTCCTTAAGCTTCAAGCTAAATGTGGTGTATTTTTTCTATAATGTCACGAGAAATAATGTCGTCATCTGTGTTTGCTTCGTTTAACTTACGGGGCACCACCGAGGGGCACAAACTTCGTTCAACATGCTTTGAATTGCTTTGTTTTTTACACAAGCAACATGCACTCTGATTGGCTGTTTGGGATGATGTGGTCATCATTTTAATCTGCTCCGACATGCATGTTGTAAATGCATGACAAATAGGAAGATGATTGATGAGAACATTTTACTAATCTCAGTTAATGGTTTCAGCCCAGCCACCAGTGACTGTACAAAAGCCCAATCACGTAAACTTTGGTTCTGCATTCATAAGGATGAATTCCACATTAAGTGTTTGCTGGGTGGGAAAGTGATGCCCCATACTTTTGGATCACAGGACCAGACCAGGAGTCAAATTACCTCTCAAGTGGTAGCTCAGTGATATCCACTGCCATGGGCAATTCTCTAACACAATGGACCACAATGGACTGCACTGCTCTACGATCTGAATAGATACTTTGTCTTGTGATAAAATACCAATTTCTCAATCGGGATCAAATTGGACAAAGAATAATAAGGACATTGTTGTGTGACACAGACGTCGTTTTTAATGTCACCATTTTAATGTAAATGATTGACCCACGCTTGCTTACTAACTGCCATGTTTTGGATATTTGTGTTCCTAGCTTCGTACCATGTTCCTGTGGAATGGAACGCACCGTTTCGTTCTGGAGAGAAGTTTCCGCTCATCATCTTTTCTCACGGCCTGGGGGCCTTCAGGTACACATCGGGCTGGGAATGCACCGTGGCTTCTGACTTGGGTTGTGCGGCACACCCTTGTGCCCTTCTTAACAGTATGTGGTGTGCAGTTATTTATTGTTAAGAAGAAAAATAATGATTAAAAACATGCTTTATCATGCATCAGCCATAATACAGAAAGTATCAATGATTAATTATATAATTATCTATGCCCTCATGATGATGTATTCAATCACGCACATGATATGTTTGGGCAAATAAAGCTGTACAAACGAGATAGAACGTAAAAATAAATACTATGTAAATGAGATGGCAAAAATGTGACAGAAAATATGAAATTATCTAACCAAATCGTGATGCGGAATCCTGACAAAAGTCATCGAATCGCCGACGCATCTGTGAAGCGTTACGTTCCTGCTCGTGTGCCGTGCTGGCCGTGAGCGAACGCGGGTGTCTGTGTGCAGGACCCTGTACTCGACGGTGTGCGTGGAGATGGCGTCACGGGGCTTCATTGTGGGAGCGGTCGAGCACAGGTAAAGTTGATTCAGCTGTCGCAACACCTGCAAATAATTGACACTTGAGTCACTTCAATAAGCCTACTTTCATCAACACTGCATTCAACTACATTTGTCGGTCGTCCATATGTATCTTCAGTTCAGTCTTGAACTTGACAATGTCAAATTTTATTGAAACGACGACATTTCTAATGTTCATTTGCACGGACATTGATTGATAACCGGGCCAAGACCAAGAGATGCACTGCACTTTAGAACCAGGTTAAATTACAGGTGACCGCCAAAATTCAAATCCAGGATATCAGTGGTGCTGGCTCAGAACGGCACCGGAGCTCATGGGCCAGAGCGGCCTCGGCGCCGGTATACAAAGACTTGAAAAAAAGATTGGGGGACCCCCGGCTGGATGAGAGCCCCTCCCTATGCCAACTGCGCTATGCCACTGACTCAACGGTGACGTTCCCCGCTAGTGATCTTTTTCAACGGTCACGTCTGCTCTCCCTGCCAGAGACCTGTCTTCCTCGGCCACTTACTTCATTCGGCCAAAAGAGGGCGAGGGAGGGACAGCGGCCGAGACGGCGGCGGCCTGTGAAGGGGAGGAGAAAGCGGCTCTGCAGAACGGCGAGTGCATGCAGGAGGTGTGGCTGCCCTACCGCAAGCTGCTGCCCGGAGAGAAGGAGTTCCCCCTGCGCAACCAGCAGGTGGCGCACCTCGCACATCTGACACGACAACTGCGGTCTGGGGCAGAGGTCGCAAACGGGTTTTGATTCACACTATGATGTCTCTTTTACCAGTGGCAAAATATAGTAGTAGGTTTTTACCCTTTTAAACTGGTACAAAACTGACACCTTTATTCAAGGAATCATGTTTGCAATAACCACAACACAAGTAGTCAAAAAAGCAAACAAATAAGAAGCAACTCTGATAATGATAATGATATGCACTGTCCTTGAAGTTGATTGGTCCACACCCGAGACGGCTTACCCCGAGCTCTCATACTCTGATGGTCCATTGTCCTTGAGTTGTACGCCTTTTGGCGTCATCTGGTCCAACACCAATGGAGACTAGGCTCTAAGAAAAGCTGTCTCGGGTGTGGACCAATCAACTTCAAGGACAGTGCATATTATTATCATTATCAGAGTTGCTTCTTTTTGTTTGCTTTTTTGACTACTTGTGTTGTGGTTATTGCAAACATGATTCATTGAATAAAGGTGTCAGTTTTGTACCAGTTTAAAAGGGTAAAAACCTACTACTATGGGTTGTGATTCCTTACCCGTACCCGGCCGCACCAGGGTCGCAAACGGGTACCCGTACCCTACCCAATACCCGGCCGGGTACGGGTAGCCGGGTATCAGGTAGGGTACGGGTATCGGGTACCCGATTGCGACCTCTGGGATGAAGCCATGTTGCAGGCGCGGGTGGGTTGATTCTAGGAACTTGAATTGTGAGAAGAGACAAGACGTTGGGAAATGAGTGACAAACGGTTACTCACCAGTGACTCACAGCCTACCCGTACCCGGCCGCACCAGGGTCGCAAACGGGTACCCGGCTACCCGTACCCGGCTGGCTACCCGTACCCGGCCGGGTACGGGTAGCCGGGTATCGGGTAGGGTACGGGTATCGGGTACCTGATTGCGACCTCTGGTCTGGGGGGAAGAGACCAACTGCTGCCCTCTGTTTACCACCAAGCCTTGGGCTGACGCGTGCAGGTGGATAAGCTCAGCGATGTGCCGCGTGTTAATACGGCACAACCTCGGTAAACGAGGGACGCAGTGTTGCGATTGACAGTCGAGATGAGCAGGCGGCAACGTGTGATAATGCGCCATTGCTGGGCTCCAATCACATTCCCCCTCACTCCCTAGTTCTATGCCGAATGACGGATCTTTGGCTCAAACTCCATCTTGTCCAGCTGCTAGCTTCGTCTTCATTTTACTAAACGCGCCCTCCTGCGATAGACACCCCTGCCCCCTCTGCCTTCCTTCAAGTTGTCATAGCTTCTTTCTTGTTCTGCCAGGTCCCCCTCGCAAAAGGGGTTTTTAACCTCAAGGGTTTTGACCTGGTTAAATAAAGGTGAAATATAAATAAAATGTTGGCCTCTTTGCAAAACATTCTTCCTTCTAGAACGTCCTTCAGTAAGCTGCCACCTCTGAGATTATACTTTGACCGCATATTTAGCTTTTCCTGGATTGTTCTAAATATACGTGTTTCCATAGCATTCCTCCGGTGAATTGAGTGTCGATGAAGCAGTGCCGTTACGCATTTAATGCCGCTGCACGCGTCGGCTGAGAGTGGACAACCCGAAGCAGAGTTAGAGCCTCCTCATCCCCGGAGAAACGAGCCGCCATTCTGTTTCGGTGCACGGCCCCCTCCGTGGAGTTATTTGGCTCATTACTCTGATTTCAGATTAATTTCACATTTGGCCAACAACCTTGTGCTAATGCAGAATGTACTTTGGCACTGATTTTTTTTGTTGTCCAAAAAAATCTGTAAGAAATATAGGAGCCAAGTGCCGTGCGCGAACGCCGGGTGTTTGCGATACTGCGGATGTTGACCACGTTCTGTGCCCTGCGCAGGTAACAGGTGTGTCGCTTTGGAATGTTTGGAGTGCGGCCTTGAGGCCAGGTTAACGTTAATCCACCCCAGTGGACGAGCGGGAAAATCTGACGGGAGAGACTTTGTCCCCCAGGTTCACCAGCGAGCGGACGAGTGCGTGCGTGGCCTGCGTCTGCTGGAGGACATTAACGAAGGCCGTCCCATTCAGAACGTGCTCTCCTCGGGCTTTGACTTCCAGCAGCTGAAGGTGAAAACCAGCGCCGCTGGAAACGGGGGGGCACTGCCTTTGTTTTATATCAAGGCTACTCGGGCAATAATTCAAGTGCTTAAATAAACTGTCCCTGTGTCCAAAATCACGGTTCATTGAGGCAAAGAGTAGTCTCATTGTCAAGGACTTCTTGGCTGAGACTTTGCATGAATAGTTCGGAGAGCTTTGCGGATTATATACGTGCATGCGCAATTGACGGCTAGATGAGAGCCTCCTCATGCCGTGCAGATGGAGAGGGAAGTGGGAATTGGATCATACTTCGCCATGCTGGTTAGTGCAGATCGGTGAAGGTGAGGAGAATGGGTTTGGGAGCATAGACGCACAGCATAACAATGGACTTTGCTCCACTGCCCTCTGCTGCCCACCACTTACAGGACAGTCAATCAATCAGTCTTCATTTTACATGCCAATATCACCGTCAGTAAAGTAGGCATCAGTGCAAATAACAACGGAACGGGTTCAGGGGGCACAGATCAACAGGAATGAAAAAATAAACCCGTCACGACATCAGCAGCTTACACTGACTTCGGCAAGTAAATTGCAACCGCGCACAAAATAAAGTGCAACCGTGCCCCATGAATAACAAAAATGAATGAAAAGCAGAGAGACCGTTTTTATTTCAAAATTGTTATTTCATGGTATATATTTTTTTGTTTTAGATTTTCGATTCGCAGCACCCAATCACTATTCACCTTCCAGCAACAGTTCAAGGCTCTCAACTGTCCAGGCTCTTATCTGTTGAGTCTCTCACCTGTTCAGACTGGCGTTTGAGCTCTGACTCTGCGCCTTTTGAGTTCTCTATCGAACAATTGGTCCGATTCGTGAAATATGTGCCCATTATAAATTGTGTTTATTATTAACGATAATTATGAATGTTTTTACTTTTTTGAGACGTTCTTTTCCTTCAACGGATGACCTGCTCGTATCTGCAGTATCAGCTGTTACACTCGGTGGCGCCCTTTGTCACCGTTGTGCAGGGAAGCATGGACCTGGAGAAGCTGTCGGTGATGGGGCATTCGTTTGGAGGAGCCACTGCGATCGTCTCTCTGACCAAAGAGCCCCGCTTCAGGTGCATTTTGCTTGTTGACGCCTGGGGGTGGAGGTGGTGGTCAGCCGGGGCTGCCCTGTGAATCCTTGGAGTGCACGTGCCTTGCACCATCACATGGTTGTGGATGAGCTTGGTTATTTTGTTGTAATGAGTAGCGTTTTTGCTGCCTGTCCTGGTTTTCTCAGAATCCGTAGTTCTTCCGTCTGCTGGTATTGTGAGATTTTGTCATTTCCACGATATATCCTGGGTTTTATTTGGATCTAAGTGCAGCCCTGGTTATGGGTAGTGATAGAGTAGATTGAATGCTGTGCTGACCACTGAACCAAGCAACAAAGGTCAAATTCCTGGTCATGGAGAACAACGGTATGGAGTGATAGCCAAAACTGGCAAAAGCTTCATTCGGATATACGTGACCTCATACTGTGAATTTTGGTCAAATCGATTTTTGCGAACCGCACTTTCCCTGCTGACACTGTGCTGATGTGGGATCTTTGTGTTCATCGCTGTGTTTTGCCAGGTGTGCTGTGGTCATGGATAGCTGGATGCTGCCGATCGAGAGGGACCTGTACCCCAACGTCACGCAGCCGATCTTCTTCATCAACACGGAGAAGTTCCAGTGGGTGGCGAACGTCCAGAGCCAGCGGCAGCTCGACTCCAGCACCGTCGATCGCAGGATGATCACCATCCTGTGAGCAGCCGCTGTTCCCCTCACCTATTTTGTACTCGTGTTGAATGATGTTAGCTCATTGCTGAGTAAGCACAAAATGTTGGTGATGGCCTTAATAATTGTCTCTAAGCATTGACTCTAAGCATGGTCCCAAAGCATTGTCCTGAAGCATTGTGTGTAAGAATTATTCTGTAGCGTGGTTCTTAACCCAGTGTCACTATTTATGCTTTGTCAATAGTAAGCCAGTGGGACTGGGGTCAGATTGCGTGCAGGACAATGTAGCGGACAGAGCAGGGCCATGCAGCAAGATCCATATTTGTACTGTATTTTCTATGCTCCCTGCCTTCATCAACCCACACCGACAAGTGTGTCGAAGTACGGTCAAATAAAGTCCCACGACTCGCACGGTTTGGGGACTCCGTCATCCAGGTAGCGGACTGACAAAAGGGTAGGACTCTTCTTGTTTGTAAATACTTGCAGTCAATTCTGTTGGCTTCTCAGTGGAAGATGCCCTGCAACAATTCCTGGCGCCTAACCAGTGCCTAGAAGGTGGCATTTGGCAGAGAGACGCGGTCCTGTAAGTTCTGTGGACACTAAAAGCCACTCTTCAACAAAGAGCAGGCCTCCTGGAAACAAATCCTGCTGCGAGTCAATAAGATGCTTCTTCTGGGCCACATTCTCTTCCACATAGATAACAACCTTTAACATTCTTTAAACATACTTTTCCCCGTGACCAGGATTTATTCGTTTCACTATCTCTGTCCAGCATACAGCGTAAAAAAAAGATTTAAGGTATAAAAAAATGCGTAAAAGCTAGGGTTTGTAAAACTCGATGGGTGGGTGGGGAGGCATTTGGAAAACTTCCAGAATATCCCGGGACCCAGCGGCTGTTGACTGCTTGCCCAACCCATCGTGGCCTCGCGACGTGGAGCCCCAATCCCCCGCTGCAGCAGCAAGTGTTTGGTTTTTGCGAACGAAATAAGTTATGAAAATGTTCCTCGGCAAGATGTTGATCTCACGATGGACCCTGTGAGTGCATGAATATCGTCAAACATGACAATGACCCGCCGCTGTCCATTCGAAGACCAACCAGCGCGTGATTGACTGTGATGAGCCAAAATTTACGGTTCTGAATGAAGACCAGAATGAATTAATTTAGTAACGTTATCGGACACTGCAGTGCACTGAGGAAGACCAAACATTGAAATTGGCTGTACACGTGTATCGAAAGATTTACCGAGTTTATTTATTGGCTCGCCGTATTATATAAAGGGGAAAAATTGCACGCCTTCTCACGCCAACATTTAATGACGTAGGATTGGACAAAATGTTTGATGGCTTTAGACCGGTGGTTCTCAAAGTGTCGTCCCCAAACTCTCGGTGGTCCGTGACGGTCCTCCAGGTGGTCCACGGTGCTGTGATGCAATTGCAGATTGATGTGGACATAATGACAACTTTCATTATACCTTTTGTTACGGACTTTAATAAATATTTTGTGATATTTAATTTAAAAAATTAAGTTTGGTAAACTACCCTCATTAATCTACCCTAATCCTAAGATCTAAATGGCACTCCAAAAAAATTACTTTCTCGTTGCATTTAAATAAAAAAAAGTGTTTATGTTTCGGTTAATAGGAATCATTTAGTATGAATGGTATATAGAGAGGGAATTAAATGCGTTTTGTCACCAGGGGTGGAGGGGGGGGGAACTGGGTGGTCCGCGGAAATGTTTGCATCGGCTGAATGGTCCACGGGCCAAAAAAGTTTGAGAAACATTGCCTTTAGACTAAGAGAATGACTAAATCAAAACCACAAGTTGTTGTTGACTCTACCAAGACCGACCAAAATAAAACATGCTGACTAACACAGCAGCAGCAGCAACAGTAGCGGACAATCGCGGCTCACCTTACATTCAAGCCACAGCTGCTTTGAGTCACCGGCTCATTTTGTGAGCTCACTATTTAGTCTGAGTTGTGACGGAGTAACCGTGCTCATCGTGCCGGTGAAACGACGCACGATTCGTAATATGTTTCTTTGCCCTGAGACCGTCACGCTGACGCACACGCTCAACGTGAATTATTGCCGCTCAGGCGATTTGTGTTAATTCGTGTTACTCCGCAACTGCGTGCCGTTCTTGGGCTCTTTTAAAGTGGCCTCTCTCTGATTTAATGGGTGCTCCTTTGTTCAGCTCATCACTGCTTGCCTGTGCTTTTAAACATGCCACTCTTTTTTTAGGCCATTAATTGGATGTGCACAATTGTCGTTTGTGGGTGTGTGTTGGGAATACGTTTTACAAGAGTGTCCATTGTTCTAAGGGTAATTTGTGCGTTGTGTTATGTCACGGTGTGTGGATGTGTGCTAAAAGGGAGCCGTGCTGTATTGGTTGGTGAGCCGAACTATGATTCCACAGACCCAAGCTTCGATTCCTAAGTCGTGGTGTAAAAACACCACTGGCTGTTAGTATCTGAAGCTAGTATGGACCCTCCCCTTGGTTTAAGTGGAGGTGCAGCCCAGAAATTTCTCCCTCGCACCACTTTTGGCAGAAGGGTCTCCACTCGAGGGGGACTTTTACCCCACCACACTTGCGCCCTGCTGATCGCTAACCATGATATACACATTTATACAGCTGGGCGGACACAGGCAGTGGCGAGTCAAGAAACGTTTGCTCCATTGATTCAAGAGTCGCCCTGGGAAAATTAACTAGTGGCCAAGATTGCAGGTCCAGTATGGTAACCATTGCACCGTGGCAGCACCCCGCCCTGGTCTACTCGGCCTAACACGAATGCAAGTTTCCCTCTCTTGATTCGGTGGTAGATGCATTCCAAAATAAAGGCGCACAAAGCGAAATGGCACGAGACAACAGCGTGCCGAGTAGCACATCCAGTACACACACCAGAATGTTGTCCCACGCCCGACCCGATAGCCGCACGTAGAGTGAATTCAAACCGCAGAGAGCAAATTCTTTGATAGAAATAGGTGTGCCGCATGTTCGAAATCGCACAAACCGAACCCGTAAAAAGTGAGGGAAACCTGCACCTGATACGGTGAAGTTGAAGGAGGAGCGGCGTGCGTGGTGTTAACCACACGGTTGCCTCGTGTGCTGTTCTGCCATTAATCTTGATCTCTTCTTTGCTTGTCCGTCGCAAATGATGACAACTGTGGAGAACAGCGAGTAGCATTTTCCCGTGCACTTGTGGAATGGGAGAGGTCAGCCCTGTAGCGGAAGCATCAGCCTGAGCTCTGGGCAAGAGTTATTAGTCTCCTGGATGGGATTTATGTTGTGCCGCTGCGAGTGTCGATGCTGATAGGTTTTTTTTATTTCTGCCTTTTAATAAGTGCTCGCGAACACAATTTCTTCCATCGGTATTCGCGTTTAACGACAGGTCTCTGTCCTTGTGTTGCGAAGGGGCACGGTGCACCAGAGCCAGGCCGACTTCACCTTTGTGACTGGCTCCTTTCTGGGAAAACTGGCCAAGACGCGGGGAACGCTGGACCCCTTGACCGCCATCCACATCAACAACAGGGCCTCGCTGGCCTTTCTGCAGAAGCACCTGGGTAAGCACACAGCTTGGGCGGCCACCTCGACGCTCGGCTTAGTTACCGGTTTTACTCTTCTCGTTCTATACTCTTTGGTTCTTTCGGTAAAGTCACGTAGGTAGAAAATAAAATAAATCACGACGTTTCTGGCGCAACACACACGCTTGTGTTGCGCCCAAAACGTCGTGATTAATTTTATTTTCTACCTACGTGACTTTACCGAAAGAACCAAAGAGTATGGATTCCTGCAGTCACGAAAGCTTCAAATCAAGATCTTCTCGTTCTGTTTATTTTCATTTCCCCCCCATCCCCCCTTTCCCCACTGCCCCCTCTCCCATCCCGCATGCAAATATGTTGAACTCGCTGGCCAGGCCTGTTCACTCGCACTCAGTATATACGCGTGTGAAATTGTGTTTTTGCAATAACTTCAATTATTTTTTTACCTCGGCGAGCCCCTCACTGAGCCCGTCGCACTCGTATTCAGAAGGTCCTTTTTTGCGGATATTTGAATCGTTTCTTGGCCATACAGACTCCACATTAGGATTGCCGAAGTTGCTCTCAATGCGGTGCACTGAATTTTCGAATCAACAATCGTGTTTATTTTTTGACAATGTGGTGAATGGTACCACCGATGGAATCTGCATAGGTCTTGAATTAAATGCAACTAGTTGTAACATGTACAAATAGAAAACGGTAGATTCTCACATGCTGCATGTATTGCGAGGCAAAAGGAATACATTTTAATCGATGCATCGCTATATCTCTGCCATATACGTGTTCTTTAGTAGCTACATGTGTAGTAGCTGCGTGTGTAGTATGTGCGGTACATGTTTTCTCCTGCACGTAGCTATGGTCATACAATACAAGGCCACACATTTTAACTTTGGCAGGATATAAAAAAAATCCCCGTTGAGATGCTCATAGGCCTTATTAAAAATGCCATGGGTCTTAACAGCTTTAACTTGCACTCCCATTAGTGCCATTTGAGCCGAGCCAATTGGAGCATCTGAAAAGCGTTTCGAAAAGCCGGGTCGCGTTCGTGCCGTTTGATGCTGTCCATCACAAAATGGTCAGCCACCTGAAAACGACACGCCCGGCTCTGCAAGTTACAAGCAGAGGCATTTTTCCCCAACACTGAATGCGCAACTCTGTACATCTGGCGAGAAGGCATGGAGCTGAAATTAAACATGCCCTTTTGTGCCCTCCTGCTAGTTAGTATTGTGCCCCTAATGGCAGAAAGACAAATGGGGTAGTACAAAGGCCCATATATTTTGTTACGGTGTAACCGCTACAGAGCTTATTGAAAATTGACTCAAGCCAGCGGAAACTTTTTTTTCTTCCCTTGCAATGTCACATGCAAAAGTTGGACACTGAATAATCATCCAAATGAAGGAACATTCTTATTTCGAGGGCCATTGCCTCAAACGTAAAACTGTCATACAGCAGAAATTAATATATAGTAGTGTTCATGACGGACATGGTGAGTTTATTTCACATGTGCCTTTGCGCGGCTGCCAATGTGGTGCTTACGTTTTGCGATTTTTAGACTACCAGGCTTTAGTCTCACTAGATGGATACACGCCAAGTCAAAAGTGTCTCCATGCTCAATTGAGCATTGGACAGCATTCGGTTTGGTTTTCACGGTTGTGCTTTTTTGTATTCAGTTTGTTGTCCTGCCCTCACACCTCCGATTTAGCACGGTTGGCTATGCACGGCTCTCCGATGTGTTTTGAGTCGTACCGCGCGCCGGTCAGCACGACTTCTGACGTTTCGCCCCACGTGCTAAGAGCTTTTTAATAATTCTGAATAATAATAACAACACGCGGTACAACCCCTAAACAACACATCGGACAACCGTTCTCCTCCGTCGGTGGGCCTGAGCCACTGGCGAAGCTTTTACGTTCATGAAACCGAGGAGGGGCGGCAAGACTTATCTGACAAAAGCTTGCTGCAAACGAACCATTGGAAAAGCCTCTTGAGGTCAGGTGCTGACATTGGGGAAAGTGCGCGTGATGAAAATGTGCCCTGAGCTCACGTGGGTGCCCCATCGTGGCTCGTGGGATCGCATCAACTTAAATTTTAGTTTTTACCAGGTGAGACCCACTGACCTATTTAGCCATTTTCACAAGCGACCTAGCAAATGATAGCTCAACGAAGTGGCCTATCGCATGGAAATGTTTCGCGGCCAATTTCTCTAAACGCACGTTTCTGAATGTGGAAGGAAAAACCAGAGGACCTGTAGAAAAAGCCACACGACCAAGGGAGAGGGGGGAGAGAGACACCGCAATCTCAAATATGCGGTCGTTAGGGTCGGTATCAAACCCACGACCTCCTGTATACCAGGCGAGGGAGTTAACATCTCGCCACCGTTGTGCCCTCCTGTGGGTGCGACATGGGCATAAGTCATGCAGCCCCAGCCTCAGTCCGCCCCTTGCCTTGTCCGCTGGCCTTTTAGCGAGATAATCGGCTTAGATAATCACACAACGTGGAATCTGCAGCAGAATGCTAAAAAAGAGGCTAAAATTGCCTTCCTCTAAAGAATCCCTCGTGATGAGTGGTTGAAAAACATATATTTTGGTCATATGGCTCTCAAGATGTACTTTGGAGAGTATGACTTAGTTAATTTAGTTACATTTAAGTTGTGTAATAATAGTCGTAATTACAATAGTATTTTATGCCCCAAGAGTAAAAAGTGGATTTGAAAGTGTTTGCTTCTCCCATGGAGCTATGAATAAACAATTCCCTCAGAGTTGTTATTTTTAATAACGCTAATACAACATGGATGTAAGTTATTTTGAGCATTCCCTCCGACTCCCTTTTCATTTCGATTTTACTTTACGCCCTGTTTTATAACCGATAGCACTTAACTGTGTTTGTTATTGCTTAATGTCTCATTTTTAAGTTGTCTGGAAGCATGGTGCAACGATTGCTATTTTGGCATTCTGTCAATCAATCTTAACAGGAATTCAGAGGGTAATCTTTTTTAATCACACGCACCTGACTCTGACATCAGATGTGTACAATTTATCCAATTTATTTGTCATTAACAGCATTTCATTTAGTTGTGTGTGATACCGTGTAGGATTTTTTCCTTGATGCACTTTCATTTGTTTTCCTATTGGCCTGTAAGTTTACTTTTTAGCAGCACTAAATGCAGCTCTAAGGAGTGAGAAACATGCGTTTAGAGAATTGGGCTGCGATAAATGTCCACGTGATAAGCTACTTCGTTGAGCTATTATTTGTGGCCAGGTTGCTTCTGAAAAAGAGCTGAAAAGCTCAATGGGCCTTACCTGGTAAAATTTAAATAGTTAAGTTCAGTAGTTTTCTGTTTTGGCCACTCTCCTGCTTTTCTCCATTGTTTTTGGAATGAGAAACAAATAGTTAACGTAATGCAAGCAGCGTTAAGGTTCATGTGATAATAATAATTAGGCTTGTAAAGTGCTTACTTGAAGATCAAACAGTTGTTGCCCATGTTGTCTGCATCATCAGCAACATAGGATTTTAAAAAGGGTGGGATATTAACTAAGTAAACTATTTATACATCACGGAAAAAAAACCCCTGTAGATTTTTGTTAACCCTATGTGGGAATTCCCAACACAATTTGAACCGTTCTGAGTAACCAAGCTCAGAAATTCAGCGACTTGACGGCCACACGGAGAGCTTCAGATGCACAGATACACGTCAGCCGTCAGACTGTGACGTCCACTCATTTGAGAAGTTTCCTCTCTGTATTGTCATTCAGGAGAGTTTGAAGTTGAGAAAAACATAGGGCAACAAAAAATCACATGAGGTGTCGGGAACCCTCAAAAATGAGGCCTCAGCTCCCGACTTAAAGGTTTCAGTCTCTTTTGATTTGTATTTCAACCCTGCCTGACATTTGTTTTTTATTTTTAATCATTGCCTATGATGCTTTTATGTCTCAAATGCCTCTTTTTTTAGAAGAGACATTTAGTTTCAATGAGCTCTCACCCAGTTTAAAATAAAGATATGATTGACTCAATGCATTTCTATTTTGCCAAAGCATCTCAAGTCGACCTTGCTGTCGATGTTTGGCCAATTTTCGTTAAGTTTTCTCTGCATGTGGGAGTAATTCACAAGCTCCCAAGAAACCCCACGCGTCTGATTTGAAGAACAGTCAAACGCCACATGAAAGCTCCTCGCTGTACCTCCTCCACACCTGCAGTCACAACCTCTGGGGTTGCCTTGCAAGTGGATGTACCGCCTGCACGTTATTCAACTCGGCACAGTCTGCCCACACGAAACGCAAAACAGGTTCTAAACTTCGGTAGTAGTTTTTTTCTATGGTAGCGTGGTGTTTTTTTCTATGGTAGCATGGTGTTTTTTTCTATGGTAGCGTGGTGTTTTTTTCTATGGTAGCGTGGTGTTTTTTTCTATGGTAGCGTGGTGTTTTTTTCTATGGTAGCATGGTGTTTTTTTCTATGGTAGCGTGGTGTTTTTTTCTATGGTAGCGTGGTGTTTTTTTCTATGGTAGCGTGGTGTTTTTTTCTATGGTAGCGTGGTGTTTTTTCTATGGTAGCGTGGTGTTTTTTTCTATGGTAGCGTGGTGTTTTTTTCTATGGTAGCGTGGTGTTTTTTTCTATGGTAGCGTGGTGTTTTTTTCTATGGTAGCATGGTGTTGTTTTCTATGGTAGCGTGGTGTTTTTTTCTATGGTAGCGTGGTGTTTTTTTCTATGGTAGCGTGGTGTTTTTTCTATGGTAGCATGGTGTTGTTTTCTATGGTAGCGTGGTGTTTTTTTCTATGGTAGCGTGGTGTTGTTTTCTATGGTAGCGTGGTGTTGTTTTCTATGGTAGCGTGGTGTTTTTTTCTATGGTAGCGTGGTGTTTTTTTCTATGGTAGCATGGTGTTGTTTTCTATGGTAGCATGGTGTTTTTTTCTATGGTAGCGTGGTGTTGTTTTCTATGGTAGCGTGGTGTTTTTTTCTATGGTAGCATGGTGCTTTTTTCTATGGTAGCATGGTGTTTTTTTCTATGGTAGCGTGGTGTTGTTTTCTATGGT